AGCAGTCAGAAAGCTGCAGCAGGCGACGCTTCCATAAAAAAGATGCCCATCCAAGCAGCACCAAACAGCGCGAAAGAGAGGGAGAGAGAGAGAGAGAGAGAGAGCAGAAGAGGACAGAAAAATTAAAGGCATAAAAAGTGGGAAAAAAATAGAGTAAACGGAAAAACGTAAAAAAATTGGGACAGGCTCAGACACACACAAACACACAGAAGGAGAGTGAGGGGACCACCCCAGTGGGGGTTGAAGAGAGTAAGAGGCAAGTCCTGGACAATGCTTGGCCTTCATTGTTGTCAAGCAGCGGCTCGCTGGGCCAGCGCCCCCCAACTCCAGCCATACTGCCACCCAGCCACCCTGCCACCCTGCCACCCAAGTGGGGTTGATTGAGTGGCGCGCCCATTGATGTCGGCTCTGCCCTGCCTCTTATGTTGCTACTGCTGCCGCTGATGGACCATGCCTGTGCCACCCCCTACCTTTTTCTCCTTTCTCTTTTCGCATTTCGTTTTCCTTTTTTTTGTTTTGTTCCAATTCGCTTCGCTCTCTTTACAGCCGCTCCAGCTCCCTGCTGCCCAATGTTTTTGCCCCTCCCCACTGCCCACTGCTTTTCTTTCATTTTTTACACATTTTTGTTTTGGTTTTTGTGTTTCGCTGTTGTTTTGTTTCGTTTTTTGTTTTCGTTCGCTCATTCGCCATGCGGCTGTCAGCTGCGTCTCGTCCTTCCATATATTGTGGTAGTAGTATATGGTACATAAATATATGTACATATATTGTACAATATATACATACATATACATATACGTATGCGTATATAGATTTACTGCTATATATAGGCTCGTGGAAATTGCAACGTCTGCAGCTTGCAGCTTTTGTTTGTCACTGCTGGGTGGTGTATTGGGTGTTTTGGTTGTATTGGGTGGGCCATTAATGGCCGGACGCTCTTTTTCTCTTCTTCTCTATACTGTATTTTGGACATCGACTGAAAGTGATGCTTACATTTTTATCGACACTGTCGTGTCGTGCTATGCCGGTGAAATGGCGTAACAAATTTGCTCCGTTATGCAATGTTTTTTTTTTATATTGCTATTTAGAATTTTTTTGAGGGATTGATTTCTGGTCGTGGGAAGCAGCACCACAGATCAAATAAATTTTGTTGTATTTAACATAAAGATAAATCTTTATCTAACTGGCATCAACTGCCAAGCATTTTTGTCCAGCAGATTGGTTCCATTTCCATTTCAGCATGTGCAACGATGCGGAAAGGGAACCAAGGGGAAATTATCAGTTCAGGCATATTCGCATTAAGCAACATAAATATTAATTGAAAAGCATTTTCACATCTCTACAACTCAACAGTGCCAAGAGGGGATGGGCGAGAGGACATAAACGAAAACTACACACACACCCACGCACACCCACGCACACAGTCAGTGATGAAATTATGTGCATTTGCATTAAACAAAACATTAAATATGCAAAAGTGCAAGCAGGGAGCCAGTGGCCCCCACTCATAAATGTTTGCTTGCAACACAACGAACAGAAAAGGCGGTCGGGGCTTTGCTGGGCTGGGGGCGGTACAAAAAGCATATTGTTGCCCACAGCAGGCACTGCTTGCTGCCCGGGCGTTGGTTCACCAAAAATAGAACAAGACAAATATTTTTCGACAATTTATGAGCCTTGCTCCAGCTCCAGCTACAGCCAGTCGATTCGGATGGTGGTGCTCCGTCCTGATGGTGGGGTGCTGCTGGTCAGCTTGTAACGTGTATGTCCTTCCCGTAGCCTCCATGGCCGGGCAGCCACATCGTGGCAACGATTCCCGTTGGAAAAAATGCCATTTGCAATTAAAGCAAACAAGCAACGCAACCGTTCGTCGACGCCGTCGTCATCGTCATCGTCGTTGTCGTTTTCGCTTTCTTTTTGCCGGCTACTTTTTGGCAATTGCAATTTTTTTACAGCCATACCCACTACCACCCCCTCCCCACATTCCAACCATGCAAATGGGCGAGCACCCCAGTGGCACGAGCAGGAGCAGGGCCAGGAGCAGTGGCAGTGGCAGCTCCCACTCCCCCTGTGGTATGGCACATGTGTGAATTATAATTTCGCGTCGCGCTCAAAAGCATGCTACATAAAAAAACACAGACAGGAGCAGAAGCAGCAGAAGCAGCAGCAGCGGCATGAGGAAGGAGGTGGGTCCAAGGGAGTGCACAGTGAGAGTAAAAGAGTAACGAATGAGAGAGAGAGAGAGAAGAGAGCTGCAGAAGCATAATAAGAAGAAAACAAAAGCTGCCATCGCATTTTCCATTTCGAGCCGGGGCTTTTGCTTATCACATTCGAGGCTGTCAAGTGCCACCCCCAACCCCGCACCATCACAGCAATCCACCACCCCCACGTCAGTGGTGGACATCCTCCATCTCTTTGCAATAATTCAATTCATTTTCTATTTTTTGGCTCATTTTTTATTTGACGGCGCGGCGCAACTCGAGTGAAAAACAAAGCAAGAAAAGCGCTGCTGTCCATTCGATTGCTGGGTGCCAGCGTTCGATGGCAAGGAGTGGTGTAAGGGGTGTGTTGCCGGTGTTCTGGAGTGTTTGGTACTTGCCATGCATACGATTGTACAGGCTGACCAAGCTGAACACTGCCAGTATATGCCACTCTTTTTTTTTTTGTATTGCTAAGAGAAATAATCAGGAACGCCGCTGCTATGTTGCCAAAAACTGTACTTGCAGCGCAAAAACTCAAGTGCAATTATGTTTAATAAACCCAATGGTGGTGGTATTAGAAGCACTGTTCGGTATCTGCTGTTGATTGGTAGCAGTTTTTGCTTCAAGGACCTCTCCTCCATTGTTCTAAATAATCAATTTGAGAAAATCTACCTATTCACACACACACAAGCACACACACACACACACACACATCACCCATTCCTGCTCTGGAGAGCTTCCTCAATGCCAAATCAGTTTTTAATTTCCGCTCATTTGCGAGTCTACAAAAAGAGGACGGCATAAAAAGACAAAAGCCAAACGACAGAGTCAGCGTCAGCGCCTCATTATGGTTGCAACGTTTTGTTACTCAACTTTTAGCGGCATGGCAGTGTTGCCACTGGTGCTGCTGCTGCTGCTTCTGCTGCTGCTGCTGCTGCCGTAGGGTAAAACCAACACACACACACCCGCATAGTGCCTGGAAAGTCCCATTCAATTGAGCGTGGGTAAATATGTTGAAAAGTTAATTCATTGCACATCAGTGGGCGCCATTGCACTGCACCACCTCCATCTCCATTCCACTTGGTGGCAACTATGGATGTGCCACATATAGTGGCTGTCAGCGGCCGTCTGTTTGCCGCCTGCTTGCATAAAGGACATGCACACACACACCCTCACACTTGCCCACTTCCACAGAGGACATTAACGTGGCTTTCTTTTTCATTTTTTTATGCACTCTGCTCGTTCTCGGCGTGTCATAAATTTAGTTCGATTTGCTGTTCAATGACATTAACTTGCCTCACCGGCAGCAGACCAGCGAGCAGCTAACATCGAGTCCTGCCACGGTCCTGCTCCTATTACTATCCTCATATCCTCACCCCAGCGAGTGGCCGAGTGGCAACTGTTTAAGTAGTGGCTGTTGTGCGCCTGACGGCGCCAGTAAATGTCAATTTTTAATGTATTTACTGCACGTTGCAATGAAATTTATCAAGTGCTTTAATTAATGTGGCTGCTTGTCTCCCATGACTGGAGATAGCGCACCTCGAATCGGAGTTATACAGTGAATAGCTGGGAGCGATGATGATTGAGTGTCGATGGTATCCATGCGATTGATTGTGGAGTAATTTCTGTAGGTTTTCGATGCGACCAAATCCTCGTTGTCTGCCCATTAGAAATTCCATTTAATTACCGCCCTTGAAACACCCACCAAACATTTATATTTATTTGCATAAATAATCGTTTTTTTTTTTAACACTTTTCCTGCGCTGCCAACACGTTTGCTGCTTATTTTTATTGCTTTTCTTCGGTTCTTTCTATTTCCGATTTTCCCATTTTTTCCTTTTTCCGTCGCATTTTTTTGTTTTGGGTTGGTATTTTCCACTACAATTATGTTAATTTCCTATGCAAATAAAATTTAATTGAAGCTCAGCCACGTTGCGAAGGCAGGACCCTGGTCCAAGGACCGCCTGTGGGACAGTTTGGTTCGTCCCGGCATTAATGTGGCTCGTTCGTTTCCTTCATGCCTGCCCCTCCTTACACATTGCTTCATTCGCCGCTAAGCACATTTGCCGTCGCCAGCATTAATTGCCAATAATTATATTGGTTTACCTTTCCACGTATTTTTTTTTATACGAGTATCCTCCCATTTTTTTTTCAATGTTTACCCAACAGCCAACAGCCACCAAATGATTCTTTAAAGTGAAAGTGCAGCAGAGGGTTTAAACAGAGACATTTAAGTTGGCAGGACTAATCATTCTAATATTGATATTGATGTCACTTGTAACCAAATATAATTCCCTTGGACCGAGCAATTGCAACCAATTAAATTTGCATAAATTGCCCAGCTCATCCACGGGAGGGATTGGCGGATCAAAATGCCAGTGCCAAACAATACAAGTGCGCTGACAATTACAGCAGAAATTAAATTAACTTATTAACATCCCGGCTCGTCTCGTCTCTCACAATGCAGTGCGCTGTGTGGGTAAATGCAAAATGTCCCCTCAATTGACACAAATGGAATGTAATACGAGTCCCGAATACGAGCCATCCAATGGCGCTTAAATATATGTACTCGTATAATCCAATCAGCAAACAATGAGCTGATTCAGGGGGATTCAGGACTCAATCGGGGGCGTGGCAAACAATTGACAATGCATTAATTATGAAAATATATAATTGAATTTTAGCCAGCGGGGCAGTTTGATTTGCAGTTGCTCAATGGAATCTGGGATGGAATTGTAAAATATATTAAATGCCATTCCACAAGGTGTCACATGAATTAACACATAATTTTCCAATCGATTGCAGGACTTTGACAAGGAGATCAGTTGCCACAAGATCCACTCGCCGAGCGGCAGCAGTCTCGTCCACTCCCTGCACCACCACAGCAACAGTGGCAGCAACCACACCAGCAACAACAACAATATCGATGATGATATGGAAATCACGGACGTACACGCCCTGCTCTCGCCCCCGCCACACTCCCACACCCACTCCCATTCCCATTCGCACTCCCACTCCCCCTACGACACCAAGGACCACGTCAAGGAGCTGGAGTTCTACAAGAATCTGGCTGCCAAGGCTGCCTCCCTGGCCAACCAGCAGCCCGCTTCGCCGTTGGCCATGCCCCTGCCCATGCCGATGCCCATGCAAATCGACGCGGATGCGGATGCGGACGAGGACGAGGCCGATGCCGATGCCGAGGAGCAAGCGGCGGAGGCACTGCGTCTCCGGCGAGAGGAGCAGGCCCAGGCGAAGGCATTTGCGGCGCATCTGAATGGAACTAGTGAGTACATATCGAAAGCCAAACAGAACCACACGATCACCAGTCGGGGATGGAAAGCCCACCATGAATACTATCACAATTCAGATCATTCGCTAAAGTCAAACTCTTCGTTTTTATTTTAATTAATTTATTTTAATTTTTACGCTTGCTTTACTGCAGAAAAGCTGCTTTCCATCTCTGACGCAATCATTTATATCCCCCCTCTAAGCACGAAAAAGCCAGCCAAGAGTAAACTGGCAATTAGTGTTCACTCCCCACTCTCCCCCCACTCTAGACTCCCCAAGCCACAGTACTCATCCCCTTCCCCTGTGCCAGTTCCACTAATTTGTGCAAAGAGTTTGGCTACAAAAACTAATGACAACATTTTGTGTGACTTTTGCTTAAATCCCTCCACAGTGCAAGACATGATAAATTTGCAAAAATTACAAAATTTGGCCACGCTGCAGCAACAGCAGCAGCAGCAACAGCAACAGCAGCAACATCCACATCCACATCCACATCATGGGCATCATCATCACCATCCTGCCACGGCCGCTGCACTGGCAAGTCTTCAGGGCTTAGCTGCCTCCGTGTTCAATTCGCCGTTGAATCTAAGCGTCGGTGCTGAGCCTGTGGCAGCAGTGGGTGCGGCATCCACATCAGCTGCGGGAGTCTCACCACCCCACAGCAGCTGCCACAATGGTAGCAAGAACAAGACGTCAAAAGCTAACTGCGGCGGCGGCAGCGGCGGCAACACCAATGCACACAACAGCTCCAACTCCGGGTCTGGCTCCGGTCCGGGCTGTGGCACTGGCTCTGGCTCTGGCGGCAATGCCTCCTCCAGCCAGCATCCGGATAATCCTAGCAGCAGCAGCTCCCCCCATGCCCTCAATGCCACATCGCTGGCCAATGTTCTGGCTGCGGCGACCGCATCGCCACCGCCAGCCCTTCAGGCGCCACCAGCAAGCGCCCAGATGCCGCAACTGATACTCGCCTCCGGGCAGCTGGTGCAGGGCGTACAGGGGGCCCAACTGCTCATCCCAACGGCGCAAGGTAAGGACTTCTGTCTGGGATTAGTTATAGTTGTCTGTCTGTCTCTCTATCCACCCATCCAGCCATCCATCCATCCATCGGTGTGGCTATCAATATCATAGTTGACTTGATTTAACTTTTGACGGGGCAACAAAAGCTTGTAAAACGATTAGGGAAACTTTCAATTTCCTCTCGTTTCGAGCTCCGACATAATCCGGGAAACATTTACATACACTAGAAAATATCTAATACATTATCCCCATACCCATATCCATCCCCATCCACAGGCATTGCCGTGCAGACCATACTCACGATTCCCGTGAGTCCGCAGATACCCACCACGGAGCAGTTCCTGCCCAATGCTTTTGGAGCCTATGCGAGCTACCAGCAGCAACAGCAACAGCAACAACAGCAGCAGCAGAGGGAGCAGCAGCGGGAGTTGTTGCCACCATCGCTGGCTGCCCTGCAACATGCCACAGCGCTACCCCAACTGGCCCAGACACCCACGAATTTACTCAAGCCCAATCTCTTCTCGACCGGCGTCCAGCAGCTGCTGACGGCCCTGCATCCCGAGCTCTTTGCCGCAGCGGCCGCCAACCATCAGCAGCAGCAACAGCAGGCACAACAGCAGCGGGAGAGGGAACGGGAGAGGGAACGAGAACGAGAACGGGAGAGGGAGCACCAGATGGCTGCAGCGGCCATTGGTCACCTGCCACATTCCCATTTGGCCGCCGATCTGCGACGATCAGCGGAGCGTACACCCCCAGCAGGATCGCCAGGCGGCGGAAGTCCGGGGCTGCCTTCAAAGGGTCCGCCTCCACCACCGCCAGGCGCTGCGTTTCTGCTGCAGCAGCAGCTCCACATCAAGCCGGAGACGCAGACGCATCTGCATCATCACCTGCCGCCGCAGGGATCCGCAGCGGTCTCATCCTCCCATCCGCAGATCAGCCTGAGGCATCCGGACGAGTTGACTGCCCCACAGATGGATCTGAAGCCACTGGAGCTGAGTGCCAGCGCATCGCCGCCAATTCCGCCGCCATCCGCTGCCCTGGCACGCCATCACTTCGGTCACAGTCTGCGAGTGGTCTCCCCCAAGCACAGTCCCGGTCGGATGTCCGCCAGTGGCGCCTCCTCGACCGGCATGAATCTCAGCCACCACCACGAGAGGCACGATCGGCATGAGAGGCATGATCGACATGATCGACACGATCGACACGACCGCCACGACAGACTTGAACGGCATGAGAGGCGCTCGCACACGCCCACGGCAACGGCCACGCGGGCCAGCGTCTCGTCCAGCTCGGGTGCAGTGCATCATCTGCCCCACGAGCGGGGCGGTGGGAGCATGCCCTCGGGCAGACTGACGCCGCCGACATCCACTTCGGCGAGCTCCGCCAACAGCACCAACGATAGAGGCTACACATCACCACTGTTCCGGACGCATTCGCCACCCGGACACGCCCTCAACATGGGCACCTCGCCACGCCTAGAGCGGGACTATCTGGGCAACGGACCAAGCCTGAGCGCTGGCTCTGTCGGAGCCACCTCGACCAGCTGTGGGGCGGCAGCTTCAGCGGCGGCCTCCAGCTCCACGGCCAACGTACTTAGCAGCATCAGCAGGTGAGAGAATAAGCCTCTTTAAAGGATTTCCATAGCTAAGAATTGTCTATCCAATGCAGACTCAATGCCTCCAATGGAGAGCTGACCATCACCAAGTCCCTGGGTCCGCCCACGGCCACGGCTACGCGAGCCTCGTCGGCCTCGCCTCGAGAGGACTCCCCCGGCCCGGGGCCCTCCACATCGAGTGCCTCTCTGATGCAGCCCCTCAAGCTGAGTCCATCGTCGCGCAGCGAGCCGCCGCACCTGTCGCCCAATGCCAACGACATCGACAACGACCTGCTGATGGATTCACCGAGTGAGTAAAGATCGACTCTTTCTTTTCTTCACACATACTCGTATATTGAAATGTATTTATAAGTTAGCTTAGCAATAATTCGGATTAGGCCAAAACCAATGCACCATATAGTCGACTCTCTCGTGTCTGCAGCCTCCAGAGGTCGTTGTGAGGTCACGTGAATAGCCCTAAAATTTTCCTGAAACTCGAGTGTTTAGTTAAAGTTGGAATAAATGTGAATGGAAATGGGAATGGGAATGGTAGGTCCTAGCTTCCGTATAATTGGGGTCGGAATTGGGATGATGATGAGGCTGATTTGTAGGATGTTTGAAGAGCTGCACTAGCTGTGTGCAGCGTTGCGTATGAGTGATATGAGCGGAGCCCAAATTGTTGGCCAACATTAATTAACGAAAAAGCGAACTTTGTAGCTGAGTTTCAGGCAGCGGCAAAAAGCCCCAACAAGTTGACTGAATTTTATGTAATTTTCGAAAAGAAAATCAACCTCAAGTGCTGCTCTTCCCCTTTGCCTTTTCCGCGTGTGAGTGCAAAACTTTTGCTGTGCATTTACACGACTTCTCAAGACGGTCGGGATTCATAATTGATGCAGCAGGGGAGCTGGAGCCGAGCCGGGGATTAGGTGAGCAACTAAACAAAACTTGCGTGAATGCATGGCCCAAAGTTGGGAGATGTCAGCCGGAAGTGTTAGGCAAATTAGCAGCAGCGTTGACGTTGTCACGCTCTGTATCTGGCATTGGATTAGGTTGAGACGAGAACAGAGACAATGGCTAAGACTGAGACTGAGACTGACACTGACACTGAGATGGAGACGGTGACGAAGACGCAGGCTGAGTTAGAGGTTGTCTGTCCTGTCAGGAGGCATTTGGGCCAGGATGATGGGATTAGCTTGGGTAAGGATTATGGCAAGCAAAAATATGGAAAGTCTCTTGGTTTTGAGAATATTGAATTGATTAGATTCGAGCCCCATCATCAGCAAACGCATCCAAGCCTCCACTCCCTCGGCAAGCCTTAATTGAAACTTTTGGCTGCATTAAAAATGCAATCGGCACAAGCATCAGAGGCAGCAGCAGCACCACCAGCACCAGCAGTAGCAGTTGCAGCAGAAACAACCAGAAACAAGTCAAACCCCTGGCACCCATTAGAGCCAGGAGGCCATCAGGATGGGGGCTGGGATGGCAACTACCTAGAGCTGTCTCGATTGCTACAACGGATCGTTTGCGCATACAAATTGCAGACAATATGCGGCTTAATTACTACTAATTGATGCATACAAAAACTTAAGATGTTTTCCGCATTTAATGACATATTTCACTCTCGAAGCCAAACAACAAGGAGCACAGAGCCGGGCCAAACAAAGCAACAAAGCAGCAAAGCTGCGACGACAGCTTGAGTTACGGCCCGGCCCGCCCGGCAAAGGATGCTTCCTGGCTGCTGCCTCCGATGCTCCTCCTTCAATCCATTCTCGCATCTTAATTACCGCTAAAGCACCAGGCTGGCTGTCGTTGCAACTGGCTGCTGCTGATGCTGTGATGCTGCTGATGCTCCTGCTGCCGTTGTCGTCCCTTCCTTTCAGCTCTTTCAGACACATGGCATCGTTGTCTCTTGCTTCTTGCATATCATTAATAAATAAATCAAAATTCTAGTCGAGTAGTTTGTTCGCTGGAGTCGCCGTTGCCTCCAACCCTGCTCCTGGGTTGCTGCCATGCAACCCGTTCTCCTGGCAAACAAATTAAGCAGATAAAGGCAATAAGTTTCGCACTTTCCTAATAGACAAGAACAACTTGGCAAGAGTTGAGTACACACGCCTTGCCTAAGGAAAAAGGGAAAATGAGTTTTATCAATTTACCTGCCGCCGAGAACCGAGAACCGAGAGCCGAGAGCCTGGCCTGGCCTGGCTTGGTCTGTCCTGGGCCAATTGCAGTGTAATAATATTTTGCAATTACCGCAATTAACTGTAATTACTCGCAAGACACCGACACGGCAGCAATTTATGCTGTCATTTGGATTCCCCTCGACACAAGCCAAGGAGGAAAGGATTAGCTGTAGCTTTTCCGTTTAGTAGCTAGACCTAAGTTGCACTGCTCGTCTGGCCACCCACCCACGGGAAGCTCTAATTGGAATCTCTTTTCGATTTGCGCCGCAGATGAGCCGACCATCAACCAGGCCACCACGAATGTGGTCGACGGCATCGACCTGGACGAAATCAAGGAGTTCGCCAAGGCCTTCAAGCTGAGGCGCCTGTCGCTGGGCCTCACCCAGACCCAGGTGGGGCAGGCGCTGTCGGTGACCGAGGGACCCGCCTACAGTCAGAGTGCCATATGCAGGTGAGCTATGCAAGGACGAGCAGAATCGCATGAATCTCAAATGGATTTATCCAAAAATTTATCCAAATAACATTTACAAAAGTGATCTGTTGTCTAAATTGTTTCCGTCGAAGTTAATTTATTTTAAGTGCTCAAATAACTATGAAAAAAAAAACAAAAAAAAAAAACAAGAAACTCCACATGAAGAAAACGATCAGAAATTAGTGAATAGATCAACGAAGTTAACACAATTTTTGGAACACTTTCCCCTGTATCAATGTAATTGTTTATCATTTTATTCAAATCGATTATTTGTTTCCTTCATTGATTTTGATTTGTCATTTTCTGGAACAAATTTTCTCAGAGTGCCAGGACATTTTCTAACCGCGTGAGCTAAGACGAAAATGCTAACATAATTAAATGCTAAATTAACTACAAAAAAAAATAAAAAATTAAATAAATAAAACAGAACCACGACAAATTTAATGCTAAATTAATTTTCTTTATTTTATTTTGTTTATTTTTTTCTGAATCAAACGCCAACTCTATCTAACTCTCTCTCTCTCACCGCCACCATAAACGACACGCATTAAATCGAATGTCGAAATGTCGCCTGCCGCCTATCGAATGTCAACTATCGAATGCAAGCAGTGCACTCGCTGCGCAGATGTACGCCGCCCAACTATCGACGCAGCAACAGAACATGTATGTGTGATGCACCTGAGTGCTCTGAGTGTGTGTGTGTGCTGAGTGTGTGTGTGTGTGAGTGTGTGTGTTAAGAGAAACCTAACTAAAGTGCCAGAGCAGCATCGAAGTGCCCAAGCTCTCATTATTATCTATTCATTTTGCCATATATTTCATTTGATTATCGCTTTATTTGCAAAAAAAATTAAAGAGTGCGCTTCGAATATTGGCCCAGGGCATTGCCAACGAGCAGGGTATTCGAGCAGCTGAAATAAGTTTCAGAATTGAATTGAACAAAGCTAAAGATCGGGAGGGAGAGCAGAGCAGAGCCTCCTCTCCCAAACCAAAAGAATGCTAATTGACAATGTCCTGGCACTTTAGTTACGTTTCTTTTACGTTATTTGTACTGGCGCACGAGAGCCGCTCGCACTGAGTTCGTTCCCTACTAATCCAACCACCAACCACCACCACCACGCAGGTTCGAGAAGCTGGACATCACACCAAAGAGCGCGCAGAAGATCAAGCCTGTGCTGGAGCGCTGGATGAAGGAGGCCGAAGAGAGGTGAGAGTATGGAGGCAGTTCCACGCGCCGTTAACACCTACGTGTGACGAAGCCAAACTAAACAGAATTTCTCTCTTGTTTCGCCTTCAAGCAGTCACTGGAACCGCTACAAGTCCGGCCAGAATCATCTAACGGACTACATTGGCGTGGAGCCGTCGAAGAAGCGCAAGAGGCGCACCTCCTTCACGCCCCAGGCCCTGGAGCTGCTCAATGCGCACTTTGAGCGCAACACGCATCCATCGGGTGAGTGGTAACTTTCATTGCCAAAGACCATTTGCCACTATCGAGCGTTCGCTAACTGTCCTATATATATATGTATATCTATCTCCATAGGCACGGAGATCACCGGCCTGGCCCATCAGCTTGGCTACGAGCGTGAGGTTATCCGCATCTGGTTCTGCAACAAGCGACAGGCCCTCAAGAACACCGTGCGCATGATGTCAAAGGGCATGGTCTAGGCACAGAGAGAGGCTGAGGGTAGAGGCCCGTGTAAATAGGAGGCCCCTGTATATAGCTATATGTATATGTATGCGTATGACTGCTCGCATGTGTTTAATTGTGTGAAAATGTGTGTGTATTCCCGTGTGATAGCTGTAGCCCCTTAGACTTTAACATAGGCCATGTAAAGTAATAATGTGTCATCGCATTTACCATACGATCCCACACACCCCACACCCGAGAACCCAATCGAATTGAATATTTAAGCATACTATGTATAATCTAACCTTAATCATATCCCAAATAGCCTAAAGGTAGTCGAGAGTCCACGAACAGACTTGCGCAGTTTTTGGGCCAAATTTGATTGATGTGCCATTCCAGGAAACAAACAACAAACCACAAAACACATACAAAAAAGACACGTTCATACGCATAAAAGATTAACTATTAAATGTTTGAACAATTTCAACCAAAACTGCATGGATCTACATACATAAGAAAAACTCTTTAGATGAGTAAAAAGTAATTGCATTTAATGCGTTGTCTACATTAAACTCGTATACGAAGTTCATTTTATTTCGATCACCGTTCGTAAGCAAATTATAGACCCTAGCATTTAGTCAACTCAGTCCCAAAAATAAAACAAAACAAAAACTATGAAAATTTAATGGCAGTACACTAGAAAGAAACCCAGCAACAGTTTAGACTAAGAAAATTCGTGTAGCGATCTTAAATTATGAATGAAACAAAAACAAAAACAAAAATAATGAAAAAAATAACAAAAACAAAAAAGACATATTTCAACTACGAAATTAAAATGGTACACAGCAAGAAAACAACAACCACAACTGAACAAATATTTAAATGATTGTAATAAAAAAAAATTATTATAAATGTATTTTATTTAAAAAATGGGTTGGTAAGAATCAGACATTCTGATTATTCATGGATGGATATTCTGAAATACCGGTAATACCGGGAACAAGAGTCTGCGATTGTATGCGGTAGAGCGACTATCTCTAAGCTTACCCCAATAAATTTGACAAGCAGAAGATTAGAGATGAAAGGTTAATGTCTCAAACAAAAATTGATAGGCCGAATTAATTGGACTGAGCGTTATAGCTTGAAACAATTAGTTGTTAATATTCAGAAACATACACATTATTTTTTATTAATAATTTAAAACATTCAACAGTTCACGCGCATTCACGCGCACAACTTTTCTTTTTCTTTTGTGTTTGTTCAGCGCGTCCGCACTAACACTCCCTACAGAGTATCACATTGGTGTAAAGTTAAAATGCGATCTTCTGGTTCTCTTCCCTAAAATGTTCCACTATGTGCAGTCAACAGCTGGGTTTTATAGCTGACGCTGTCGGGAATGAATAGAACATAATCCACTGATAAGCCACAAAACAATACAAATTATTAATATTTAATGTTGTTGTTTTTTTTTTATGCTGAAATTAATTTATTGACCTCCCAGTGAACGCACGTGGACACACAAATGGCACCTCAAAAAATAATAAGCCGAATTGATTGGACTGGCGGGTTAGAGCTTACAACAATTAGTTATATATTTTCAGAAACACACACTTTGTTTTGTATTGGTATTTATTTTTATTTCACCTTCAAGTGGAAAGAAACGTGTTCTTGCATTACAAACATTTGCATTGACACGCACATTTTAGCTCTCCCATTATTGCGCGTCCGCACTTGCATTCCCTATTTGGTATCTTATGGAGGCAATGGTGTACGCACGCTGTTGCACACTGTTCACTCCTGCCCACATTGATGTATGCAAATTGCCAGCTTCCAGGAAAGCTTGTGCTGCAGTCTGGTTCTCTGTTTTCTTTTTTCTTCTTCTGACATTCGCCACTATTTGCAGTCATCAGTAGAACTGCCAACAGCAGAATAATCGTTGCAATCGTAGGTTTCATGTTGTGTATCGCTTGAAGACGAACTATGATCTGTTGTCACTTAATATAATGTAGCTGGGTTTTTATAGTCGAAGCTGGCAGGAATGAACGGAACACAATTCACTGATAAGCCCCAAAGTGTTTCTATAATGCCAGAATTTATGGCCATTTGGTCAGACATTTATTGACCTAACAGACGCACGTGGACACCCAAATGGCACCCCAAAAAATTGATAAGGCAGTTGATTTCCTGAAAAGATGGGTGCCATTTTTAATGCTTGATTCCTGGCTACAAGCTAAAACTTATGTATCTTAAACTCTACTATTGGCAATATCACAAAAGGAGGCAACATTTTCATGGCAAGCATATCGGAATGACTCAATCAATCAATCAATCTATCAATAATCCACTAGTCAATCAATCGCTCAGCATGATCTCCAGATTCTTTTGTTTCTGCCAGACACGATATTCGATGAGACCGTAGCTGGAAGGAGGAACATTTCAGAGAGCTTTAAAGTGAAATTCAAACTAGATACTCACCCCACACAGCCCACCAGCATGACGCACATCAGAATCACTAGTTTGGTGGAGGTGCAAAGCTGCGAACTTATCACATATCCAATAACCGAACCCGTGCTTTCCCAAAGCCGAAAGTTGCTATAAGCCGCAATCAGATGGTTCGGGAACAAGATGCCATAAAAAGCTGCAGCAAGCGGAAAAGCCTCATTAGTAGCGCTGTTAATAGTTAGTTAGTTCACAAACCCCTCTCACTTACCATTGACAACAACCAACCAGACGCCATCGCAGATGCCCCAAACGGCCGCAAAGGCGCAATACCGGATGTAGTCGCCCTCTCGCGCTTCCCACGAGTACATGTACGCCAGGAGGCACAGGTTCAGGACAGCACAGAGTCCGGCCAAGGTGACGCGTCCAATGCGCTCCACCAGAGCACCCGCAATGCCCGCTGCTATGGCATTGGCGATGCCAAAGCAAATCATGGCGAAGCCGATCTTCGATATGCCCCAGCCGCAGGCCACAAACGAGCGGGTAAAGTCGACGGCCAGGAACGCCTCCTCCAGCCCAATGAACATGGTGATGGGCAGCATGAGGATCTGGCGGCGCTTGCGCAGCAGATTAATGGTCACCGTCAGCAGCTTCAGGCCGGAAAGTCCATCCCCAGTGTCGCCGCGCTTGACGCCATAGCTGGGGAAGAGTACGATATAATGTGAAATCAGCACTCCCAGCATTTCCAGCCGTGTACCGACTTACCGCTTTAGGGAGCTAACGCCAAAGATCATCATAACGACGGCAGCGGCCATGCAGGCCAGAAAAATGGAGTTCAGCAGTTGAATCTGCTCCGGGGCGGGCGGCACCAGATTGGGATTTGCCTCGGATCCCACACCCGGACAGAAGCGAGCGCCACACAGCTCGCCCACTTGGCTGAGGCTGCTATCCTTCTCCATTTCCAGGCTGCCATTGGGTGCGGTCTTGGCCGGACCACTCAGGGTGAGCACCGAGGAGGAGATGAGATTACCCCACACCTGGGCCATCTGATAGAAGATGAAGAACAGCCCAAAGAACTTGACCGTGTTGACATCCTTGCGTGATTTGTTGCCGCGCACTTGAGTCAGCGCCTCCGATACGGTGGATAGGTAAGTGCACTTGGAGCACCACAGCGGTCCTCCGCCGAATCCCACCATTAGAGCTGCGGGAATCAGAGTCTCGAACCGGGGATAGAACTGGGCGGCGATGTAGGGCATGTAGGCGAACAGAGCTAGGGCCATGGTCAAGCGGCAGCCAAACCAACTGTTGATTAGAGTGGAATGTGGAGAGTGTTTTGGTGGCCAGTGGCAAGTGGCACATGCTTAGCAGGCGGTCATTTATTTTCGGGGCCCCCTTCCCACCACCAATGACGTCCCAAGGACACGGGGCTTAGAGGCCATAAATCTAAATAAATCGAGTTAACTGATTAAAGTTGGCCAAGCCAGCACAACGGTGGCCCGTTCGGGCCAACGGACGCGTGCCCCGAATAAGTCAAGCGAGGCGGTTCGGATCGGAGCGGGGCAGTGGCCGCAGCGAGGGTTGCTATAAATTAGCGATTTGTTTAAATGTCAGACCAAACAAAATGGCAAAGCGGGTGTGGGTTTGGGCGTGGGCGTGGACGTGCTGGGCGGTCGCCTCCCATGATGTGGGGGATAGTCACAGTCCCACGCATTGGCTGCGGGGGATGCGAGGATCGTCTCTAATCCAGGGACTTCCTGTTGACATTTTAACAGTCAAATGAACTCGCAGACCCATTATTCTGACTGCGTTTTTGGCCATGTCACATCTACATAAATCCCACATAAAAAATGCCAACAGACAATTACCGAAACTTTTATGGGTTGCCACACGTGGCAGAAGTGAAGACTCCCCAATCTCTCTCCTGCGAAAACAAAGTGCCAGAAAAACATAAATTGGCAATTATTTTTGAGTGGCAAGCCTTGGGTATGACTGACTGTATCTCAGTCTGGTTCTGGTTTCGATTTGAATTGAACAGGAAGGGCATCAAAGAGGGATAGCTGCAGATCAATGTAAACGTTCTAGCCCCCCCACTCGTAGCAGGTAACTCACCTTATCACAGTCATGGGTAGAAACACATTCGACAATATCAGGGAGCCATAGATGACGGCCAGTGTGGTGGTGCCCAGTGCCTTGTCCGCATTCAACGAACTCTGCAGGTTCGATGTGCCATGGAAGGCCGTGAAGTGTATCATAAATGCAAGGCCTATCACAACGACATTTCGGGTGATAACGAAACGTTCCTTTGGCTCGTACTGCCTCTGATTGACTTTGCTGTCGCCATTCGGCCCAGTTGCAGGCATTCCTGTTGCATCTATGTTGACATTGCCATTGCCATTGCCATTGCCATGTGCCGCACTTGTGTCCAAAGCGAGTTCCTCGTTATTGCTGTCCGATGTGCTGTTCGGGGGAGCCATGATGATAGCCCTGTAAATACAAAATACTCGGTCATTTGGTGTGCTTTGTGACCAGTTCAAAAAATGAATGCACAGGCCAAAAGCCAGTCCATATTCACTAATTAAAATGGAATATCCTGTGATGCAACAGCAAAAGTCACTCGTAATTAATGCAGATGGGTGGCGGAGATAGGCAGGGAGTTGGGTAGGAGCAGCAGTTTTCGGAGAATCCACATTAAATGCACCACTAAAGGTTACCTTTGGTGCTGTTTAATGGCCATGAACTTCACAGGAGCAGCTTTAAGTTATTTGTGTGTCTTCCTGCCTGCCGCAGACATCACACCACACTATCCATGGGGTGTCGGTTTATATTCGGAGCTCGCTTTTGGCCAATAAAATCGCCCCCAATGCCACGCCCATATTTACACACACACCCACATACGTAAGTATATCCCGAAAGATATAGGCTTTGGTCGTGCTTCAGTCTCAAGCACATTGTCGCCAACTTATAATCCTTTAGGCATCCACACAGCACGAACTCCGTCTGGCAGCCTACAATTTATGCCTGTCTACACCGTGCTCAGTGGCTCCGTGGCTCAGTGATTCAGTGGCTCAGTGAAACGGGTGTTACAGGGGTGTGTGTGTGTGTGCCGCGTGGGCTCAGGGCTAAAAACGTTTGCTCGACTCTGTTTGCATTTGATTTCGGGGCTGTGCCAACGACACTTTATGAAATTTTACACCTTTGATAAAATGTTAAAGGCATGTTTGCCATCTTCCGAGTGGCCTCACAGCTCCTCCCTATCCCCCTTCCATTCCATTGCGAAGCCTTTTTCCCTTGTTGTCCTGATTTAATGTAAATCGCCTGGCTATATACAACCTGATTGAGTTGAAATGTTTGTGCTGCCAGGTCCCGCTTTTCTCCGCGAGGGTTGAAGTTGAAAATTGATTCTGAGCCAGCACCTGGAGGCGTTACATGGAGCGCTGTGAAATTAATTGCCCAAAAAGTTGTATTCCTCATTAACAGATTTGATGAACGATTCGCCGTCGAAGCCTCTAAGCAATCTTTAACGTGGATGCTGATGGGCAATTAATTGCATCGAAATCAAAGCCGTAAATCAATTTTATTGGCTATTACCCGCCATCCACATTCATCATACGCGGTGGTGTGCGACTGTACCTAGTGGAAGTCTCACATTCCTCTAATATGCCGCTAGACCCGTATGAGTAATATCAGAAAAAAGGACTCGAAGCTACCACTTTGAAGCATTTTGACCACTAAAAGATATCCTTTAATGGCGAGTTGACAGCCCATATAAAGTTGAAATTACAAGGGACGAATGGGATGGAATGGAATGGGTGCAAAGTAGCGCAGGAGGTGTTTCTTCCAATGGAAAATTCAGTGTAATGTTTGGTCAGCAGTTGGTAGCATCATCGTTCATCATCTAAATGAAAATCTGGCATAATCATCAAAATGGGCCAAACCCAAATGGCCAACAATTTGTGTTTTTTTTATGTACAACCAACCACCCACCCATTACCCACATTCACATACCCTTTCCCTTTCCATTCCCCATCCACACCCTGCCCTGTCTCTGTTTCTGTCTGGGCCACTTCCCGGGCATTAAACAAAGCAGCACCCAAGGCCCGAGGACACAGCGTTGCCTCGTTAAAGAACATTTGGGCTTTATATAAAATACGAGAGAGTCTCTACTGGCGAGGACCTGATAACAATGCTCTTGCTTGGGCTTGAATTCTGGTTTTATGTGTCTCTCGACCGGTTGACCAGTAATTTAGTTAAATTATTGTTCGTCAGTCTGTCTGTCTGTCTGTTGGTCTGTCTGTCAGAGTGTGAAACTTTACCCAATCTGTGAGGTTTGGTGTTTGCTTTGTAGTAATGTTTTGAGGGATAAGTACTGCCATATGGTATTTGAGATGAAATATCAGAATGTATACACAGAATATACACGAGTATATATTTGGCAATAAATCTCTCATTCAAAACTTCAATTTGTATTCCTTTAACTTTGTTTTACATTTGTTTTGATTTGATAAATGGACTCTGGCATATGTTGAGATGCTTGTTTACACATTTGGCTGTTGGCCAGAAAAAAAGGAGCAACAACCACCAGCCTAACCCGCACACACACACACATACGCACATACGCACACGCACACTAATCAATCAATGCCAAATAAAAAGTAAGGCACACAAAAACATTGACTTATGGCGCTGACAGAAGGCAAATAGTCGCAACATTCGCACTCGATGCTCCCCATTTATTGGCCGGAAGAACTTGGCCTTTGGCAGCACATGTGGCGAAGGCCAGGCATTAATGTCCTGCAATTAACTTTAGATCAATTATATCGCCAGCCGAGGCTGGACCTCTGGACCCCTGGACCCCTGGACCCCTGGACCCCTGACTGTTAATTAGCCAACAAACCAGACAAAATACACAAATGTGTGGTGATCCAATCGAGGTCAAAAAGCACCACAACAGGAGCACTGAGAGAAACAAAAGAAGTTTGGGTATGCAGTTTCTGTATTTCTATATTCAATGCTTATTCCCATCGTATTACTTTTTTTCATGGATTGCTCTGCGCTTCTAGGGCTCTCTTTCCATATATGAAACATTTTTTTTTGTGTAGTGAAACATCTTTGGGAATCGAAACGCTTTGCATTTTGGTTTGCTTGTGGATGTGTTTAAGGGTGTTTGCATGCAGTTGATGGCAAATATTTGTCAGCATTACTGTGCCGACTGGCCGATGTGATTTCGCGCCCAATTGAATCAACATCAACAGGATGAAAGACGTGATGTGGCTGTGAGAAGCAGCTCAGCGGAACAACAATGCTGCACGAGTATTGTGTGTGTGCATGTGCCTGCAGCAGAGAAATAAATGAATTGCGGGCACGTGGTTATCTGGCGGGGTTTTCAGCCGTTTATTCGATGTTAAACTTTGCTGATGCTGCCACTCGTAAAAGAGTTTTCTTATTATTCTCTGATTGCGAATGCATCAAAGTCCTGAGCACACACCTTCTCCCGAAAGTGCATGAATGCACTGCAATCGTTCTTTGTGCGAAAATAACTTTGTTTCGTGACACACACCGCGCGGCCCCCTGTAGTTGGCAACAAAGAACAAAAAATGAAAGCTAGCGAAAAGTTTTCAACAAAAGCATTTTTCTCTTTTTACCAAAAGTGTAGCACAATTTAAATGCCCACAAAGCGGACGGTACAGCGCCCCGGGACAAGAAATATTTGTATTGTATAATCGGGGCTCCCATGGCGGATGAACTATCTTTATGGCCCAGCATGTGAGCTCCAGATCTGACTGTAGATAGATCTGGCCGCATTTAAGTGCGACAGTCAGTAGCTGCACAAGAAGCAGTTTCTCATTTCGGATTCTCATGCAGTATAACGGAGGAAACCCAACAGAAAACCTATTAGCATACTGCTACGCAAAATTACGTATCCGCAGTATCTGAAAAATTACGCATGCTTTTTACCGTAAAGCAATCACTTCCTAATCCTGCCATGGCTCTGTTCTGTCTTTGTTCTCCCTGCTCCCTGCCCCTACCTCAAAGATAAAGAGAACAAGAAGTCCTTTCCATTGTTCAACTGATTCAAAGTTGATCTCTCCATTGTTCCTATGCACCGAAACACGAATGAGCCGAATGTAGAAGCACTTTGCATGAGAGCATCTACAACCTGGCCCTCTTTGTCCGCATGCCGACTAAGCTGAAATTAAGCTTACATCTATCTTAGGTCAAGCCTAATGGCCCATTGGGCTTTGTGCCAGAGAGTTCTAACAAATTGCTGCAGAAGCGGCATTCTCAGAGTTTTATTTAAATTTGATTAAGACAGAAATCAATTCGAAGAAGGTCTCGTCACGCTGCCAATCATAAATTTATAATGTCATCAGGCGCAATACAAGTTTTTATTGTGGCTGTAGCCCCCGCCTAAATGCTTGCCCCTCAACCACCAGCCATGACAACACTTCCGGGTGCCCCAGTTATTGTGACGCGACATTGGGTTTTATGTGGACGAGTGCGTCAAAAGTTTGGCCTAAAATTGGGCCATATAAAAATAAGCGCAGAAACGTAATGCAAACGTAAACGTTTTCATTACTCCCGCGGAAGTTCGAGGCCAATAAAAATGACAATAATATGAATGGTGGTGGGTGTGGAGGGGTATGTATGTGAGACCCGCTGGGGGGATGCTTATATCCCCCCCTTATACCCTGTTCAATCAAATCATTTCTACTGGCACTTTAATGTCTGAACATAACAAGTCTGCCTCTGTGATTTGTTCAGTCAACAGTCTTAACAGCTCTCCCCTCGCTGTTGCTGCTAACAGCTGGCTGCTAAAATTTCCCTGCCTGTTAAAACGAACAGCTTAAGAGAGTTTTCCTCAAACAGAGCCTGTTAACGTTCCACCGTTCAGTGGATGCTCAAATCAATCAAGTTGATTGATGGCCACACAGATAAAGTTCAAATGGGATATAAATATGAATGATATAATTGGAAAAATGCCAAAAATGAAAATATTCTAAATGAAAGAGAGCCAATGAACACATTTGATTAAATGGTACATCAAAATTCGTTGGACAACATTTTCTTGGAAATCATGCTGTTCGCTATAAACCACCCACATAGCCTTTGGCTTACTTGCAACATTGTGGCTGGCCACGTTTATGCACATGGGTGAAACTTTACCTGGAAAGCAAGCAACTAATTTTCACGTTTTACAGCTCAACGGCTACAGAAGCAGCAACAATGCTGCAAGAAATTCGGAGAAGTCTAAGGAGCAGCGAAGAGCAGATGGTTATAGTTCATAAGGTGCAGAGTGTAAGCCATAATCCCAGTCAGCTACGCATCGTGTGTGGGCTGCAATGCAAAGCGAAATTCACGGAAACGGAAACGAAAATGAATATCCCACATACGCACACTGGCAGGCAAAAAGCGCAACACTTTCACATTTCTTGGGAATCTGATGCAAATGGAGCTCCGACTGCCAAATGGCTAATAATAAGGTTCTTGCTGCGGCAGCTGAACCAACATCTCCTGGGCAACTAGAAAAGCCAAATAAAATCGTTGCACTAGGGTTTTGTTTGAACCAGCTCACCCCGAACCCAAACGAATATTTTTTATTCACTTTCCATTGCCATTCTTTGTGGGGTGGTGGAGGGAGGAAGCCACTCTTGTAGTTCTGTATTTGCCGAGTACTTCCGCTTTGCCGCCCTTTATGCTGCTTATATCCAGCTCGGTGCCCTCCCCTGCCACTCGGGGGTCTCGTTGAGTGGGCTACTGAATTTGAGGAAGCGGATCTGCTGTATGTGTATGGCTGTCTCTGAGTGTTTGTGGGTGAGTGCAGAAAATTCAATAGAATTTCGGTTTGGTTTTCATTCGCTGGCTGCATTTTACGTACTTGTTGTCGTCTCCATTTAACCGCTTCAGCCCTTTCCCATTGGAGGACAGAATGGAGGACACATGCTTATCTTTGTCAATTGAATGCAAATACTCTGAATAGTTGACAGTTTCTCGGAAGCATAGTGGTGGTAACGATTGCTTCAATTGGCATGCTTAACCTTTAATTTCTTCAGAACATTTTCCCTTTGCCAGCATTCATTCTATGCAAATTAGTCCTAAACTGGGCTACTTCCCTGCCACAGCAGCTGCCAAGTGCCACAACACCTTTGCTTAACCCAAGTGAAGGGATTGAGAATGCAAATTCCATTCAGTCTCCCCATTGCCATACCCATACCCATACCCATGGGGCAGGGCTTTGTTAAACATTAATTGTGAAATATGCAATGTTCATTAGCAAGCATTTGCTAGGCCAAGTGGGGGGAAACTGTTCGTTATGGCTGATGCAATTTCCTCAACGATTTCTAATACAACCCCCCTGGCTACCCACTCTCCACACTCTTCTCTCTCTCTCTCCGTCTTGGTAGTTCTCACAAGTTAAATACAAAATTATGTCTCCATCGTGTTTGCAAATGTAATTTATGCCAAATGAGCAGCAGCCACAAACACTAAGGGTCTCTCGCCTCGCCATCATCATAACTTATTTAATAATATATATAAAAAAAAGTACAAAAACATTTGCCACATGCTGCACGCCACAAATTTTTGATGAGACCAGTTCTGCCAAGGGATGTTGGAGGTGACAGCGACAGCTAACAATCAGCTGCAGCAATGATTGCTATGGGTATGGGTATGGTTACGGCTATGGCCCACGTGTGCGTGGCTTGTTGGCCATACAATTTCACGTTTCCGCTTCGCATTTTAATAAGTTTCTCCGACCTCAGGCCACAGGCCCCAGGCCCAGGGCAGACACAAAAGCCATGGCAGGGAAATTCGAAGCTGTGCGCGATGCGGCTCGGGCTCGCTGAGTGGGTGGGTTAGCGATGGCTCTTTGTTCAACCCGACACAAAGTGGGCTGGCGTTGACTGTATTTATTGGATTTGTAGCAAGTATTGCATTAATTCAAGCTCTCCCATTCATACTCGTATATGTACCACATAGAACTGATCCATTAACCGAGCAGAGTGATCAGAGCTATCAATCAATAATTCACTTTAGTTAATGGCAAATTAAAGTGTTCACTTTGGTCACTTGAAAGTCCAAACAGTCTGCCCTGCCCGCTCGTTCGCTTTTCTCCCCTGTAAGATAAAACTTTACTTTTTATTTGTGGCAACTTTGCTGCTGCAGAGTCAAGTAAACTTTCCGCTGGCGGTTCAGTCGGGGCATCCATGATGGCAGTCCCACGCACATTGCAATTAGCATAAAATCCCTACTCCCTTTTCCCATTTTCCCTTTTCATTTCCATTTCATTCAATGCTTCTTCTATCTGGACACATCTTCCCAGCGGCTTCAGCCAAACAGAGCCTGAATGGCATTTCCTTTGCTGGCGTAATTTGTGGGATATGTTTGAGCAGCGGCAATGCCAGGCAAGGATATCGGATTCGGATAGTAAATGGTATTGGGATTGGGCCAGTGCCAGGGCCAGTATATCCTTTTGCCAGCAAGGACCATGAATGTAAATTGGAATGCGACGAGCCCATATGCAGTTAATATCAGTGCAGGCACAGTGCAGGCCACAATGAATGAGAACAATTCAATTAAGCTCGGAATTATAATTTCCATTGCTAGCATGCTCGAATTATCGTAATATGTGAACCTCGTGTCTGCAGCTGAACCACAATGATAAATTTCCATTGCTTCACCCGCATCTTTGGTGTGTCTCTCAGTTTTCCCAATTTCCCAATCTGTGCCACAGGCAGGTGACAGCACTTAGGTAAGCTGCCACTCGGAAGGATTTTCCACAATTGTTCTATACATCGCTCTCATCTGTGAGTAAGTATTCTTCTAGTCGACTCTTAGCCGCTTTCTGGTCTTTCTCATTTTACAATAATAATTTTCTGATGTTTGCTTTTGAATTGATTTATTTTTACACTTGTTAACAGTTCACTTTATGGTTTTTAATTACGGCCTGCGGTTGAATATACTTTTATTATTTGTTTGTTTGTCAGCTGCAGTTTTTTATGTGTGTAAATTACACATTGCTTGAAGCGTGAGTAATAAAAGTATTAAAAAGTTGATAGTATCTGCCACACATTCTGATTATATTCCATGACAATAACGGAAAATGCAATTGCATAATTTTGCGAATTTAATTAAATGATTACGGGCAACGTGACTCTACGAGCATTACCTGTAAATGGAAATTGGTTTTATATTCCGTTATTAAATGGCCCACACGCGCCTCTATCGATGCCCCAAAAAAAAACAAAATTTAACCGACTGACGAGAATTCCGTTCCGTAGCCTGTTCTGCGAAGGGCGCGATGAGACGAGACGAGAGGAGACGAGACGATTCCCAACCGTGAACCGTTTTCGAGCGCAATTAAAACAAAACTAAAATCTCGATGGTCGCGTCGGCTTCTAAATATGAAGTGGAATGGAAATGAACTGAATGCGACAGCAGCCGCAGCAGCAGCAGCAGCAGATACAGTAACAGAAACAGTATAGACAACAGGTTTCAGCTCTCCGCACTTCAGTTATTGCCGATTCATTTGCATAATTCAAACGTGTATTCCGATGCAAATATTGATTTTACATACATACATTTCATTCCATTCCCTTGAGCGAACTTACAAGAAACGTGACGCCAGCGGAGTTTTGGAGGCGGACTCGAAGGCGTGTCAAGGCTCTAATTTACCACAAATCTGCGGCTGACCAGGTGCCAGGTGCCAAATGCCAGATGCCAAATGCCATCTTTAGCAATCATCCACGATGCTGGGCTGCTCCTATGTTTACACACTGATTCATCTAGAGCCCTGCTGGCTGCTAACCACATTATCAACCCGTTCTGAACTCGTCGAGGAAGTGTAATGAACGCTGTCAACTGATTTAGATTGCTCGATAGTGGGAGGTCGGTCGCATTTAACCAGGCAGGCACATTCATTACCGGACAGCGACTTGTTGAATGCAATTGGAATAAGCGTTGAACAAGTGCGCTTGACAGGTGAAATGAACAACTTTCCGCTCCAAAGTTGACTCCAAGTCATTGGGGGATGCAATGAACCTTTCTCTGTATAGATGGGCAATTACGTTGAATTTGTACGTTTAGATAAGGGTTAGATAACAATTTAACAGAACAAGATGTCGTAACTGAGAGGCACCACAGATACGACTCGACATGGAAGGCAATTGTGGCTGATAAATGACATTGCTCGCACCTATGTACATGTGTGTGAGCATGTGTGTACTTCTGTTATTATTCACGACTCTTTCGGAGCTCTCTAATCGGTGTTAATTATACAACAATTAGTTTATTCCCAAAATGGTATCGGAATCACATAGCACATCAGCCAGGCGGGAATCGGGGGACTTTCAGCAGGTATTTACCCTCAATGCGTCAGTTGCTGAAACAGGTTTATTGAATGTGCTTTTGTTGGTTCTTGGCATTGACCTTACATCCCCACTAGACGAGACGGGGTTACTCAAATTGGCCATTACCACGAGCTCCACGCCGCTCCGCTCTTCAGCATCCCTTCTGTCCAGTAATTTGCATAATCCGCTTACGTTTTACGTTGCGGTATGCAGCAGAGTAAAACCGAAATCCAAACAGCAATGTGGACGGACTGTGGCGCCTGTGGCGATTTCGTGAAGTACCAAATACTTGGAACTCAGCTGCTGACGCCTTTCACTCGATTTCAGTTACTCGCTCTCTGGATCTCTGGCCATAAATCTGGCCCAGGGTCATGCACTTATTTCGCTCTTATTTTGCTTGACAATTTTGCCACTCGAATATGTGCCTCACGTCATTAGTTGTCAGCGCGTGAAAGACTAACATGAGCTTGAGATTCGATTCGCATTTGACATTTATGCTGTGCTAGACTTGCCCAACAAGAAGTGCAACATTTAAGGCTTCATTTTTCCCAATGAAAGGCATATTGTGTGCATGGATTCCTGGCATTAAATTCTTACAATTCTTGCCTTTTCCTGGAATTCAATTTCTGATAGTAATTCCGACATATTGACATTTCAATAACCATGAAATAGTTTGACAATTGAGCCGTCAAATTCTGGTTATTATGGTATGAGCCATAATAAGGCAAGGACGAGGAATTTGTTTGGTTTATTAAAAGCCCTTGTTCGGCCTTCGTTTTCAGACCATTTGCAGGACAACATGTGATCACCCAATTAGATAATTTTAATTGCAATTGCATTTTTAATTTAGGTAATATATTGATAAGAAAACTATTGTATACGCTGGTATTGTTATTGTATATCCCTTCTCGCATACCCTTCTCAGAACATTAAAGGTATGTTCATATATATATTGCATTCATTGTTCGAAATTAATTTAGGATAACTTTTGTATAGCTTTAAATGGTCCAGTTTCCGACTTTTGAGTTCCTGTTCTTCCATATATATGCATAAATGGTAGAGGATGCCCTTTCGGCATCCATTACTTTATGTTGGTACAGTTTAACATTAACAGCTAAGTTTGACATAGCTTCCACTCTGTCAGAGCTTTCCGTTAGCCAATACACGAACCACCTTTTGGTCGTCCACTCAATAACAGAACAGAATTTAAGAGATAGTTATGTAGAATACTAACACATGTATGTATGTATGTACATGCTAGCATATCTTATGTAGTTGAAAATAATATTATGCATAACACCATAAATTGATTAGTGAATGGAGATAATTGAATTATACGCTTCATGAATTTAATGAATTAAATTTGATTGATTTCAACGTTTAACGTTGCAGTCAAGAACATAATCAAATCTGTCTTAAATGGAATATAAATTTGCTCAATTAACTTTTTGCATATTCATTGGCAAATGCAACAGAAATTATTTTCAAACAATTAAAGTCAGCTTAATAAAAAACCAACAAAAAAGAGAGAACTTTTTTATTAACCATAGCGACAAGCATCCTGTTATATTTTGTATAGAAATGGCAAATAAATATATACTTATCTCTGCACTCTTTTATACGTATGTACATACATACGTGTACAATGTACATACTATATGTATGTTCAGGCATAATGATATTTGTAACACACAAAAAGAGACTCATTTAAAATAAACAATTCCCTGAATAGCAATTCTGCTCACGTCAAAAAGAAAAAACAAAAATATTTAAATTTCATAAAAAAAAACAACATCAGAAAATACAAAGCGGTTGCTGCTGTTTGGTAAATGAATCACTTAGTAGATAATGAATTCAAAGGCAAAACAACAAATATCAGAGCAGAACCTAACGAACTAAACTAAAATGATTACCAGTGCCAGACCAACCGAAACATGAGTTCAGAACTCTGAACTCATTGTGGCTAGAAATGCATAGAAAGTCTGTGAACTATGAGTATGGACGATACATATTTGCACAATCAGCTTAATTGGAATTTCATTACAATGCAAGCAGCAAAACTAATGAATTTCATAATGAGGAACAAATCAATTCAATGTGAATTCTGCCATTAGATTGAGTTCGAAAGGTACTGAATAAATTTTAGATGGCGTTCTACGAAAGCCGAAGCGAGTGCTAAACTATGTACATTTGCATATCCGTGTCAATAATTAACATGGCTCAAGTATATCAATTACTTCATTTAGCCATCTAACTCCATCGGACAGCAACACGAACAAGGATATGTGGGTTGAATCTCTCGGGATGCCATGAGATCCATGAAATTAGCATGGGCATCCATACATCTGTTTGATTAGCCATGAGCCCTCTCCCCCCATTAGTCCGTTCATGTATCCCTATGATTTGCCATGCAGCAGCATGCTAATTATCTGAACTTCTGTAAGCAGAACAGAGTGGAAACTCCATCTGTGCTCTCATGCAACATGCCACTTTCCATGCAAGGTAGGCACTGGCCACTCCCACAAAGATGCAAATACATACACACTTACATATGTATCGCCATTATTCTCGACAGGAAGCGAGGCTACATTGGCATTAGAACTCATTAATTAATTGGTTTCCTGTGTCCTGTATCCCGCATCCATGTTCAAATTTAATTTTCATGCAGCTGTGCAGAAATATTTAAGTGCACCCGCAAACTGCAGTTGCGTTGCCTATAGCATTTTGCTTTTAGCCATAATGTTAGTAAATTCTTTGATGCACTTTTAAAAGCCCCACATGCTAAATGCAATTAAGTGGACACAAAACTAATTAATAATTTAATTTAAATGGTTCCTGCCGAAAATCGTCCCTTGGATAATTAGGGGGCGCTCTTAAATGTGGGAGCAACTTTAACATATTCCACTTATGTGTACAGCAGTTTGTTGAAATTTAATTAAAAAACTTTTGGCCAATCGGGGCGAACAAGAGGGAAATTTGTTTGCAAATAAATCTTTATGGATTAAGCGACCTCCTTGTGTTTATATTGTTGTAGCCCTACCCCACCTCTGCCCACCCACCATTGCGGCTTAACAAAAGATATTTTGGAAAAGCTTTAAAAACTACTTTGTAGCCCCCGACCTCGGGAAACTTTTCCACCATCAAGGAGGCGCGCAATGCGAAGGATACCCAAACTGATAGCAACTCTGGATGACAGGCAGCACAGTAGATTGAGGGATGTGGTGGGTATTGGGGTTGGTGTTGGTGTTGGTAGTGGGACTAGACACCCAGCGGCATCGACGGGCCAGTGATTTATGCGCTGGCCAAAAACTTCCAGCAAGGCGTGGGAAAGCCGAAAGCCAAGCTGAGCCGAACTGAATTGAGCTCCTTCAGCGGACTGAATTTTTGGTTTAATGAACTCGAATGTTAATAAATAAATTTGTCAATGAAAATGGCAGCTGGGAAGTGGCAAGTGGGAAGTGAAAAGACAGTGGCTGCCTGAAAGCTGTTGCCAAAGGAGGAGTTGGAGCAAGGCCATCAACGATTACCACAGAGCAACATAATGAAACGAAGATGAATGGCGGTCTGCTGGCCTCATTGTTGGCCAGTTTAATTTGCGGGCAATCCCCTAAGCGAGGGCAACATATTGCGCGGCGGCCTAATGAGCTGCAATGAATGGAACTGAACCAGCGAAACTCTGAAAGCTGAAACTGGAACTGCCAAAGGGCTGTTGCTGCTGCTGCTGGCCCATCATCCTGAATAATGAAATGACACTCAAAATGCCCAGGAGGTTAAAACTTCGACAACAAAGTAAACAAATTCGACTAATTAACGTTAAAGGGGGATGGGGGTGGGAATGCTTCAGCCATCCCCGCTACAATATTAAAGGTTGCCAGGCAAAGGCCGATCGATCTGGCCTTATCCGATTCCGATTCCGCAAGCAAATGCGAATGAATCCTTGGCTCATCGAAACTTAATAAAAAGTCACTTTACTGCAGATTCATTATGCCATTCAGAGGCAGGGAAAGGACACGATGGCCACCAGCCACCACTAAACACTCGACACGCCATTTCGCTGCCCCATTTAAACGTGATTTAATTCGATTTCTATAAGGATACCCACAGACAGCTCAAAGTAGCTGGAATTGCGTTGATTCTTATTTTTGCTTGATTTTTATTGCTGACTGACCAATTGACTTGGCTCGTCTTGGGGCAATCAGCACATCATCGCAAAGGCAGCTGGAGGGTTGAGGGTGACTCGCCCTCGCATCGCATCGCATCGCTTAATGGCATCGACATCCTGATTATCCATCCTGCACATCATCAGGCGACCCTGCCAGAAGAGGGACCACATTATCGTTTGTTTTGATAGGTTTTTTTTTTTTGTCTATGCTTCCCCTCGATGGGATGATGGCGATAATACTCCCCTCCACACACGCTGACTTTTTGCTCTGTGTGCTGTGAGCTCCAGCTCCAGCCATTTGTTTGTTTGCTGTTTTTTTTCAAGTCGGATTCTTGTTTGTTGTTTTGGGTAACTGGAAGCGAGTCATGCCAAAAACATTCATCAATTTTGTTATCCCCTGACTACTCCGTACAACAGCCACAGCCATGGCAGTATCTGGGATCCCATTCGCAGGTGCTTACACGGGGCTAAGAATAGACAAATGCAGATTGAAATTGATGGCCCCGGTTGTTGGCTGTCGACTGTCGACTGTCGGCTTAGACCCCATAGCCACTTGTTAAATGTTTAAGTTCTCGATTACAAGACAAAAGCCGCTTTTCCCCATTTACCTCGAGGGCAAAGAGCGAGGCTGGCAGGGAAAGGGAGTGCCTTTCCCTCCACATATGAGGAGTTGAAATTTCTGCAAGGCCCCATGGCTGGACTTAACTTTAAAGGGAGAGGGGCTAAAGGAAGGACACCGATTGATTGGAGGGCAAAATGCTCAAGGATACTTCAATTAGAAGTTTAGAAGATTAAGGGTTGACTTCGGTTGTGTGTGGCACATGACTTTGAGATGCCTTCCATTCATTTCCTCCACCGGCTAGTTTCAGAGACTCTTATGGCGAGCCTTTGGGAGCCTTTAAAATTGTCCCTTCAATTTAGTTCAATTATTTCTGACCAATATTAATGGCTGAGGCTTGTTGTACAAGTTTTACCTTTAATCAAATAATTTTTAGTTACTCGGAATCTCGGAATACAATTACTCGAAGCGAATCTGGCTTCGATCACCCATCAATCCAATTCAATCCATTCCATTCCATTACTCTCCCGTCTATTGATCCGATTGCGATGTCAACAAGTGGCAACTAAATCCGGAATGCCACAAATTGTTTCCCTGATTGTTTCCACCCCCACCCCACCACTGTCGTGTTATCCTTGGAACTCTGCACACGTCAACATTTGTTATGCCCCCGGTTTTCGGGGGGAGGGATGTTCCTATGCCACCTACCCGCCCCTCCCCACCCACCCCTTGCAATACGAGTAGTTTTGCCTTGTTTCTGCCGAAACCGAAAATAAACAAAAATCGTTATAATAATATGCAGTGCTTGGCTGGGTTCCATGTGGATAAACCATTTCCATAACCGAATGTATGCTCCCGTCCTGCCATGTGTGTGGGTGTCGTTCCCAGTGGAGTGGTTTGGCGGTCGGGCGGTTGGGCGGTTCTACCCAAATTGGATTTGATGTTGTTATCGCTCTCGCAGAACCAGAACTCTGACAGGATTTTGTGTATGTTGTCACAACTAATTGAGGTTTTTCGTTGGGTTTTGAACGAGGTTTTTTTTTCTAGTTTTGGCAACTAAGAAATCCCAGTGAATTCCTTCCCCAACCCTCAAACACACGCTCTATGTCTCTCTCTCTCTCTTTCATGCTCACTTTATCTCTCCGCGATACGAGAAACAAATTGCATTTTAATTTATTTGGTTGCTTTATACTTTATTCAGTTTGCCATCGGCTACGCTACACAGCGCTATTTGCTATCCCTGATAAATTTTCATAAGCGACAGCCAAAGCTTGGGAATTTTCATCAGTGTTCTTTGTTGCAATCTTTTGTTGCTATAATATGCATTTTTGCTCACTTATTGCAAGTTATATGCCCGAGTCGAGTTCTTCTTTTCAACTTTTCAATTTTGTTTCGTTTTCTGGCACAACTAAATAATCCACTCTTGACAAAGTTCACTTCAGTAGGGAAAGTCTGAATAGAACTTTTCTGGTTTGCCTGTCATTGCCATCGATAAGTCCGCCAACAACCATAACCATAACAATACACAAAGTAAGCCAAATAATCGCAGGCCCAAGAACCCACTGGAGAGGCGGGGTGAAAGCAATTTAGGTCCTGATGAGAGCAGAGCGCCAAACTCCCAGCAAGGTCAATTCCATGTCCGACTGGCTGATCAAAAAAAAAAAAACAATGATAAGCCCAAGACGACAGCCACAGCAGCTGCTACCCCAAAGGACATGCAGGGGAAGTTGAAGTCGTCGAACATTTTAGAACACTGTTATACGCTGTTATGGTATCCTGCATAACATCCTCCTGTTAAGTTCGCGATTTGCATGCCGAACGCGTTCGCAGTGCTCACATCTTTTATGCGACCATTGCGGGCGGCAGGAAACTGTTTTGATATTTTATTTTCATATACTTTTATGGCCTAGTAAGCAAATTGTTGGGGCGCGTGGCTAATACGCAGAAAAGTAGTGGGGGGGCATGGCAGAGATTAGAGCGACGAGCCGACTGATGACTGAGGTTTGAGGATTCTTCATGTGTATGTTGATGATGGATTCGAAAGTGAAAAAGTGTAATTAATTTAAAAGCTTAGTTGTCAACTGCCGTGCCGCGCCGTGGCGTGGCATTCTCATCTCGAAATGTATTGCCTTGCCGCAAATCGCAAGTTATATTCTCCAAAAGTAAGCCAAAACAACTGAAACTCAACGGCTAAACCGAACAAACTGCCAGCTGCCGACTGCCGATTCATTCTGCGTCAAATTAATGACAAAGGAAAAACCAGAGATGTGAAGAACAAATACGAAGCAAAGAAAGTTTCCCAATGACATGGCACATTGACACATTGACACAAGGCAGTGAAAAAATGAACAACTATGTGGTACCCTGAGTACCCTTAGTTCAGAATCTGAAGTTCTCACTAGATATTCTCGCTGTGCCAAAACTCCCCGCCTTACCTGGATTACACGTCCCTGTGGTTGGTAGCGAAAACTCTGCGCCGCAGTTAACTTTTTCACACAGAATGCGAGCTAAGCCAGAGCGAAACATTTTCAAATTATTTCAAAAATGTTTCAAACGCACAGGCTAAACTAATCACAGCTGCACTTTTCCCAACCAACCGCACCACAGAGCAGAGCAGAGCAGAGCAGAACAGTCCCAGTCCCAGTCAACAATGTGTGGAACGGAGGATTTAACAATTTCGTAATGGCCGCGCTAATCCAAAATTCGGAAAATCCAATAAAAATGTACCAGCAGCGAGAACCAACCACGCCCGCTGGCTGGTGGGTAGTGGTCACTGGGCACTGCGCACCGGGCAGTGATAGACGTGCCAATCCAATTGGAAAAATTGGAAACAGCCTGGTCAATTTCTGGTCAAGTGTTGTTCTGTGTCTGTTCCTTCAATCTAACAGAGATACAATACAGTAAGGTGAAAGTTGCTCAGAGCAGAGGGAGTGCTTGAGACAATATGTTTAACTAATGGATACTCGAGTTTTGTTGTAGCATTTTTAAAGTTTTTTTTCTTCTTCTCTTTTTTTTTTTGGTCATGATCTCTGCGTGTCGTCCTAAGGGGCCCTGACCTTTAGTTAACTTTTCATAATCGATGAGCAGGCAAATCCCATATAGAACCGCACCCGCACCCCCCCTGTTGGCAGACAAAATAAAGGGTTTTCAACTTTCAACCCTGCACCTTTTTTCCATATTCTCCATCGGCCCCTTGCAATAACAACAAGTGTGGTGGCGGCAGCAGCAGCAAAGTTTTGGCAGGCGAAAGTGGCCTAAGGAATATTTTTTTTTCCCCAGCCCAATCTCTCGTCTGCCTTCCTTATAGCTCCCCAAGGGCCGTGTGTTTGGCTGTGTGTCTCTGTGTGTGTGGGCAGAATGTTGTGCAAAGTGTTTTAAAATAAAGATGCTAAGCTTTAAGTATAATGGATTGAAAGTAGGCGAAATGATAAGTTCAAATGGGTGCGGAATATTATGAAACTGGTCTAAGAGCAAGGGAAAATCCCTTAAGAATATAAAATATAAATTAAAACATAGGCCAGTAAATAAAAATCGTGATTTTTAAGATTAATGCTGTTTTTTTTAACATTTGTTTGCTTAGAAAGACCCAGGGAGAGAATATAACAAATTTAAATTTCCCGCTCATTTCATAGCAGCCAGCCTTGCACACAGTGCTCCCATTAAGCAGCTGTTCAGTGGGATACGGTATATTTTGAAAAAGAGATGGTATATTTCGGTATATTTCTCAATCTCATTTCTGCGTTATTTGAATGAGCTCCAATTGGATTTCTAAAATTCCAATACTGTTTGTCCTCAATTGGGAGCAATCCAATTAGAGATAAAAACCCAAAAAAGCCAAACAAAAACGACACAATTTTCTGGCACGGTCACACTGCACCCGCGGCAAAAAAACCCAAAACAAAAAGGTCACACTGCAAAAACAAAAACAAAACAAAGAATCCGGGTTTATTTTGCCAAAAAATCATTTGTTTAACAATCAAAATGACTCAAGATATGCTTCTTGATGACGAGGAACCTAGCAAGAGCAAGGAGACGTTCCTGGAGAAGTTCTGCGTGCTGGCCAAGAACGCCACCGGCGCCGCATTGCTCGACGTGCTAAAGCAGGTGCTGGAGGCTCAGAATGTGTTCGTTTTCGGGGAGCTGCTCGTGGAGCCCAATGTGGCGGAGGTTGGTGAATGATTTTCAACTTGCGGTGGACTGTCTCTGATCTGTGATAACTTTCTTTGTTTGTTTGCCCAGCTTAAAGATGGCCCCGACGCCAAGTACTACAACACTCTGAACCTGTTCGCCTATGGCACGTACAAGGAGTATCGGGCCAAGCCCGGCGACTACATCGAACTGAGCCCGGCCATGCAGAAGAAGCTGCAGCACCTGACCATCGTTTCGCTGGCCATCAAGACGAAGAGCATTCCATACGCCCTGCTGCAGAACGAGCTGGAAATCGATAATGTGCGTCATCTGGAGGACATCATCATCGAGGCAATCTATGCGGGTAAGCAAGCGGCTTCTTGTCATCCAGTCTGTCAACTCCAGCACTTCTGCTGCGATACTCAGTTGAGAGTTAATTGAAAAAGTTTACGCAAACATTAGCCCAGACGGCAGCAGCAGACATTGGGGTTGTCTGCCTAGACAGCGGCAGAGAGTCGAGAGAGTTAAACTTTGTCTTTACCTTTGCCTTCGGATCTGTCAAGTTTATGCGGGCGGGTTAGGGTCCAAACTGGTCTCACAGCTCACGGAAAGCTGACACGCACAGGCGAGAATTTCTCCATTTCACGGCCTCTCCTGTCCTGTCCTGTGTCCGGCGGGTGGCCGCCGAGTAATTTCTCATCATATTTTGCATAATTGAATCAAATGCTAATTCTTTCGCGTTTTTCTGTCGAGAAACACAGTAACTAACGAATGGCGACGCGAAGACTTAATTAGCATTTTTGAAAAGAGCCGCCCCGCCCCATCACATAAAGTCCGTGTCATGTTCCACGCTCCCAACCCCTCCCACTTAGTTTCTACTAGAAACTGCGACCATGCTCCCGGGGGCAGTGCACTTGATTAGCCGCGACAGCTGACGCATCCAGGCACTCCTGGCCGTGTCTCCCATGGACTGGACTATGGCGGGTGTTTTCTTTTGCCAGATTCATTAGGTGATGTGGGCTGATGGGGCCACCGACCGACCACCTGCCACCAGTTGCTGGCGCCTCGCTTCCTCCCCCAACTATGCTGAGCAGTTTTTACGGCGTTTCAGCGACGACAGCTGGATGAACACTTTTGCCCCAATGATTGCTTGCTCGAGCTTATGCCGCGCAGCCCGTTGGGGATTGTTTGCGATTCAATCGGTTTTGCTGAGATTCTCAGATTAGCTTTAAAGTTTAAACTCAAGTCAATTGATGTGCTTGTCTCGTAGCTATACGATTTTTGTATTAAAAAACGTATTTTCCCGCAGATTATTTCAGTGGTTTTTACCAGCTCGAATTGGATTTGATTGTAGGTCATCTGTGCAGCTCAAACCATCAAATTCGAATTCCCTTCAGTGGAATATTTTATTTTGTAGTGCTGCGTTTTTGCGTTTTGGGTTGGGAATGTGCTCCACCACATCGCTGGCAGTTTCATTTAATCTTGGCGCCTCTCAAAAATCCGTATTTTACATAGTTGCCACTTTGGGTAACTGTTTCTGTTTCTGTTTCTCCCGCACTGCATTTGTCTGCTAAAGGCCGTAAATCAAACACAACAGCAACCAAACTGTTGGACGGTTAGTTGGTTAGTTGTTAAGCCCTCGAGTGCCGGACCCCGCATATCACACAAAATACATACAGAATGCGCCATGGTCTGCTGTGTTGGAAAACATGTCGGTGGTGTGGATATTTCAGCTTGACGCCCATGGAGTATGTGTGCCGAAACACAAATAACTCGTTGCTAGTCGAAGCATTGAAAGGAGAAGAGGCTTGTGGGCCACTGCAGTGGCCAGTGTTCTGCAGTTGATTTGCCGCCGGAATTCGGACACGACCGCAGCCATGGCTGACTGAGCAGAACTATGAAAGCGTTGCCAAATACCTGTAATTGAATCCGTGGCATACCACAGAGCGCTCTGCCTCTGCCTGCCCCAGAGGGTTGGTCGGAGAGGGGGTTGCCAAGCAAATAACATGCTACATTTTTTAATGGAATCTTTCGCTGTCCATTATCAGAGCAAACAGAGTGACAACTCAGCACCTTATGCCGCAAGGCCAGGTGTCTCATAAATAACATTTCCCCGGGTAGCTGTATCTCGATCTGGTCAGGCTCCTCGACCCTGCCCCTTCTAATTGCTTCCAAATCCCGGAGATTTATATTATGATAGCCATCATTGGACCATCAGCCATCCACCATCCACAATCCACCGGGGCAGATGGAAGATGTTGTCTGGCATTTGGAATTCGGAATGCGAAATCACTGCATACCATTAGACGCTGTAATCTGACAACGCAATTTAATGTACTTGGAGGTGGGAATTTGGGGAGCTGGAGCTGGAGTGGAGTGGAGTGGAGAATGGCTGCAGGGCAGGTGCTTCTCTGTTTGCGTTCTCATTAATGCTGCTCCTGCTGACATTAGAGAACCATTTGTTTTGCGGGGGTGGGGATGAATGGAATGCTGAGTGGGCAGGGGGAGGCTATGGTAATTAAATGCGTTCTATAATTGAAATTCGCTTAAAAGCCATTAGTGGATTTTTCCATTTTGTTGGCTCCTGATTGATTTACGCATTCATTTTTGTATCAAAGCGAAAGAGTTTAATTCAGTTTCTATTCAGCAGAAGAACACTGCAAAAGTAAATCCCATTACCATAGATAGGGCTCTAGAATATCACGCCATATCCTATCCGACTCTTTAGGTTATCAGCATCAGCAGACAGTTGAGCGATTTTTAATATCCTTGCAAATTTGGAAATGTTTCCCCAGCGGTGAATAACGGCTGCATCATCGCCGAACAGCGGCTCGAAAGTAGGCGAAAATATGCTCGTAAACACATGAGATGCCATTGCACCGCACCGTGCTACATGCATGCCACAAAGAGGTTTCTACCGCAGGCATCATCATCCTTTGCTGGGCTGCAGTTGGGTCTGCCTGGTGGTCTGGGGCTGAGCCTTGGGCTAGGGAGTAGTTTTTGGGCATAGCTCTTCTCCCCTTGAATGGGGCGGTGCAGGCTTTAATTTCTTTTGTAAGCCTTTATGTCAAAGGAAAGTTCCGCATAATTTCAGGTGCTCAAGAGCGTTCTTTCTGACATGCCTTGTGGTTCTACCTCTGCTTTTCCCCATTTCTTTGTAGTTCTATAAGGATTTGCAATTCAGAAAAGTAAAAAAAAAGAAAGAAACCCTACTAATGCAAGTGGGCTTAGGGGTTAAGAGCTTTACACTTTTCTCTGACATATCTTTTTGGAAAACGCAAACAGCAGCAAACAGAATGGAAATCGGCTTATAGGCAGTTACCATCCATTTCGTATTCTGTTCAATATCAGCTGAAGAATCGGATTTCATTTCATTTCATTTTACGTTTATTAAATGAAAAACAGAGTGCAAACATAAGCTTATTAATGCGAGGAGTTTATTTGTGGAAAATATATATCCACGTAACACAGGGCACAGAGACTCGGATCCGTGTGGGATATGTATGTAAGTGCAGTGTGTTTCCAGCAGGAGATCCCAGCAGATCCGAGATGGCTTCCAGCTGATTGCAAGTTGGTCCTTCCTCCTGTCCCACCTTTCGGCTGCTGCATCTCCCGCTCAAAGTCGGTGTACTTTGATTGCGCATCTGTTTCTGATGACTCCATTTCTGAATTTCATAGTTTTACGGGAGCCTTCGGCTTATGCCTGTAACTTGTCAGGGCAAACTTTTTTCAGAGAATGCCAAAGACCTTTTTGCAGTGCTCGTCGCCGGGCACTTTCAGTCAGTTTTAGGTGAAAACTTTGCCATAGTTCCCCCTCTTCCCACCATCATATTGATGGCAGAAGTTTTCCCGTTCGCTCCCGCCGATGAGGTTAGGCGCAGTTTATTCCCCACCAATTTTATCTGACGTCTTTGTACTATGCGCGGCACTGTCACCCTCTGCTGGGGCTTTGTGTAAAATTTCAATTAATACGGTCCATTTTATTGCGCCAGGTGTGGTAGCGACGGCAGGCCCGAGGAGATGGCAAAGCTGTCGTCGACAGGTGCGCGACCTGAGTGAGATTTGGGCCCTCTGCAGATTTTACTGGTCATTTAAAGTGTCCTTAGCCAGAGACAGCATAAATATATGCATGGGCCTGCTGCCAATTATTAATACAATACTCGTGTACAGAAGGGCGCGGGCTTTAACCATTTTATCTGCATCAAAACTGTATCAACAGCCGCAACCGCAACGGCAGCTACAGGCCCCAGTCACAGCCACAGTGTCGACGGCCCACTCAGGCGATTCATTTTGGCATGTCCGTCAACGCTTTTTTCCCCAGAATTTGTGGGCCCAGCATTAAGGATGATTGATTGTATTCGCTTCGCGTTTCGTGCCACGCAACAGGGAAAAAGCCGCAAATTCGCAGCCCGCAGACTGTGACATGCACGAAGCCGGATAGCAAGGAGCGCCATGCCGCCAGCAGCCAAGACAAGACACATGTCAACGCCAAAATGGCGCACAAATTTTACAGCTTTTGTGGTTCCCTCATCCAGCACAGCACGGCACAGTCCAACCCATCCCATCCCATATCCTCCCATATTTACAATCCAATCCATCTGTTCGTCTGCTCATATTTTTCAATTATTTGTCGCCTACTTGTGGCATCAAATTCAATTTGCTCTCAAGCTAATTAGAAATGTGTTTGACAAAATTGTCGAACCAAATCACTTAAAGAGTGTAAGCGAAATTGAATTGAATCACTGTACGAATTTCCAGCATTTTTCATTGAATTTTTGTGGCACAAGTCTGACACCAGGCTATAAACCGAAAAACTTGGTCCTGGTTCGAGTTAGAGTCCGAGTCCTGCGTACCCGTTCAAGGGCAAGTTGTCGTAAAATCAACTGGGGGAAAAAAGTGCTTAAGAGCTTAACTTCGGCCTCAGAAATGGCCGAAAGAGGCGACAGTTGTAGAGAGAGAGCCAATCATTTTCCATGGCCTGGGCTGTAGTTTCGCTCTCAGCCCTGACTTCGGCTGGACTGATGCAGTTCTCCATCAATCGGCTCACAAAACACCAGTCACAGAATCCTGTGCGCTTGTTTGACGAAAATTCCCTCCTAATCTGCTAGTTATACATTTAAATCCCGCTTTAAACAGTTTCAAATTAATTACACAAGGCAATGGCCTCAGAGTGCATTTGCGGGATTACGTTCCATGGAGTGCTATTTGGCAATTGAATGAGTGGACCGACAGAAAGAGATAATTCCACAGAGCTAATTCATACTCTAAGTCACTCCCACTCGGCTTAGATGTTGTCTGCAAATATCCAAAGCAAAAGTTGAAACATTTGTTTTTGATTGCTCGTACGACGCACAGGGTGTCCCTCCCACTGCAGGTTGCTGCTTCCCACCATTCGGAAATTTCCGGCTTGGATTTGTTGCCGTTGTTTCATTATTTATTATTTGGGGGCTGCAGTCTGTGGAAACAGTTTTCTAATCAGTTTAATTGATTTTGGGTAGCCTGGTGGGATTACTCCCATTTGGGAATGAAAAGAAAGATTGATTGAGTGCCCGGGAGCACTCGGGCTAATCCAATTGTTTAATTAGTTCAGGTTTCAAGTGACAACTTAAACTAAAAATCTTTTTTTTTTTTGGAAATCATACGAAGAGTAATCAATCCGTCCATAAGAAAAAAAACATTTATTTTAACAAAATTCGTGCAGAATAGTATGTCTAAATGTAGCTAAATGTTGCTGATACATAAAAATGTCCGAAAACACTTTTCAAAGAATTTCTGTAAAAGGTTTGGCCCAAACCAAAACCGCTTTACGAATAAATCTCCACCTATGGTGATCCTAAACGAACATGTGTCAAATGACACGCTGGCTTAGTTCACTCAACAGGTTCGGGAGGCAGGTGGATGTAGATGGTTGGACAGCCGGTTAAAGTTTCAGTTGCATACCAATGTTTGCAGTCAACGAATGCCCCACTTGTTGTGAATGTCGCAGGGTAACTGTAATCCTGGGAAAAGCCGTTTGCTTGTCACTAGGCGTCTCCAAGTGCACTCCAATGCTGCCACTACAGGCGACACTTTTGCCAACTTCAGACAGTGTTCGTTCTGGGCAATTAGTCAGCAAAAAGTTAACAAGACGCTGAGAGGATTAGTTGTGTTTGCGTCGGAAAAAACCGAGGAAAACTTACTTAATTTCCATTTTTCTGTTGCCTGTTTCTGTTGCAGACATCATTCATGGCAAACTGTTCCAGAACACACGCATTCTTGAGGTGGAGTACGCCCAGGGTCGAGACATACCGCCCGGCAACACGGGCAAGATTGTCGAGACTCTCCAGGCCTGGGTCAACTCCTGCGACGGTGTCTCCAGCTGCATTGAAAACCAGATCAAGTACGCCAATGCAGAGAAATCCAAGCGACTGTTCAATAAGGATCGCGTAGAGCAAGATGTGAGTGGACCACCTATTGATTCGATACATGTGCTTACTTTTTCCCGCTTACTTTTCAGCTCATCAACTTGAAGAAAATGCTGAAGAGTCAGGCCTCGGACAGCGATGAGAGCATGCAGATCGATACCCATGGACCGAGCGGCAGCGGCGGCTTGATCCTCGCGGACCTTCGCAAGAAGCCCTCCAAGATGAAGTCGCTGCGAAATGCAGGAGGTTGGTAATCCACTGAAATGGATGCAATTCTCAGCGAAATCGCTTTGCAGAACGCCAACTGTTGTGGCACAACTTTAATGACTTTCTCATTTATCAGGAAACTTTACCATTAATTATTTTTTCACTCTTTTCCCACTTTCATTTTTAGTCGGCCTGAAGTTCAGCAAGTGAGTGCAGGCCAGCCGAGGGAGTGTTGCTGGAGATTCGGAGCCAGGCCATGGGGGAGTAGGCAGCACCAGCCCAAGGTCGGATGGAACACCGCGCGGCACTTGAAAAAACGGATCCCACTCGGCAAGCAGCAGGACGAAACCGAAACCAAAACCCAAAACGGAAATCATTTCACACTTCACACAACTCTGTAGGCTGTCCGCGGTCTTAAAACCATAATTTAGTATCAAACTAACAAATAAATAAAATATAATTATATCCAAACGGATCAAAGCGAATGTTAATTAGTGCAGAAATTCGCACGCATGTATATAAATGCTGCGGGGCTCTTTTCCATGTAATTCGCTTATCTATCAGTGCCATCTTTCTGTTCCACCACAAATGGGCATTTAATTAATGTCCGAATTTGATTTTAGACAAATGTTTGTCCATCACATCAATATAAATCTATATTGTGCGTGTTTGCAATCTCCAACCACAACCCACTTGGACAGCACATTTTGCCATTGATGTTATTTGTGGGCTAATTAACTGAAGCGAATTGAATTATTTTCTGACACCTCTAATTGCCATTCATTTTCCCATTTTATGCTCTGGGTGTGCTGATATTGTTCTCGTCGTGGCACACAATTAAATGTTTCAGATACTTATTTGTATTAAAAATGTATTGACATTGTTATAAATGTTTGTTTATTTTTTTAATTATATTATATGTTATATATTCTTCGGTCATGGAAAAGATTTATAAATTTATATTGGCTATCCTATTTACTTGGAACATTTCAGAATCAAGCTAAAATATGTACATATATGTATGATAACCAGTATTTACAGTATTTCGAACTAAAATCAACACACAAGCTGCAAACAGAAGAGCTTTGCTCATTAGAGCCAAACAGAACTTGTGCATTCGAAGTGCAGGGAATTTATTTATGTTAGCTCACCCAAAACCAACCTAAGCCTCAATTCATATGAACCCCAGAGAACGAGCAGGAGAGGGAATAAACAATAAAGACTTTGCTTGGCTTTAGAAACTTACCTTCCACTCTCATTTAACTAATTGTATTTTACGAGAACTGCATATAGCACATTCCTCTGGACTCGGATTTGTTTTCTAAATTCTAATTAATATCAGAAATCCTCGAAGGCATGTGTCGGTCGGTATTCCGCTCGAAGCATTCGATGGAGAGATTTTCAATGTAAAGTTGAGGAGCGTCTGGCAAATTGAAAAGCAGTGGAAGATAGTTACAAATAAAATCCCATTGAATTTGTTCTCTGACCAAAAAAAGTATCTCCGTTTTCATACTTACGGTACTGATGGGCGGGTTCTTAGAAGAACTGGTTTCACTGTTTTTATCTTGAAACAAAATAAGAACTGTTAAATGAATGAGGCATTAAAGGCATGACGACAAATTCCGAGTTTATGGATTTAAAATTTGCATCTTGGCGCCTTTTGGCATTCAAGTTTTTATTGCTTTTTTTCTTTAAGGCTGCACAACGAATCGGGTTTGTCACGAGATAAATTGCTCAGAATATTGAAATTGCCTCCACAACATGCTCTATTAAAATCTGGGGCATATTCAATTTATGCTGAATAAGGTGAACTCGTTTCTTCGCATCAATTTTTCCACCCAGCTGGTCTTAAACCAGTATCCAAAAAATAAATATGAATTATACAAATTCTGCTAATAATGATTCCCAGAAAGGTCAGGGTAGTTTCTTGACACTTTCGAAAATCGAATAATAACATGATAAGCTGATAACTCCTCTTCTCTGTTGCTAACTTAGTTGAAAGACTTTGCATTTGGTACCCTTCAGGGAAAGCCGCTAAGAGTATATTCGATTTAAAAATTGGGCTTTTAGACTTTGCAGCAGACAAACAGAAATGATTCCTGACTATGCGCGGCACTCCCACTCTACAGAGTAGCTAATTTTGGAGTCCTGCGTTCCGCCGTTCTATTCTCTCCCTCTCTTTTTTGTCTCTCCTCCTTCCCAGAACACAGCCCTCTCACGAGTTCTAAGGAACGGCTTATTGTTATTTTAGTACTCAATTAATATATCAAACAACCTCTGATTTATATGAATCGAAGACCAGAGACAATTATTCGACCATGGATTGTATGATAGCTAATAGTACAAAGATCTGGATCCAGCCTGAACATGATACACATGTATGTTCCATCTTTACCCTTTGTTTTTTTTACAAAACACCAAGGAACACGTTTTGGGATTTTGGCTGGCATCTTTATTGAACGCAATAAAACATAAATTAATTGTGCTAAAAAGTTGCGAGAATCGAAAGCGAAATTCGAGTGTGGCAAACCCGTTGAGCGGGTCGGATACCGTTATGTTACAGTTGATTGCAACCGAAAGTGGCAATGTCAACGAAAGTCAATTGATATTTAGCAATGATTTGCATGTATTTTGAAAGTCAAGAAGAACTCTTAAGAACTAGGTAAAGAAAGTTATCCAGAGAACAGTCCATGGTGCGATGCGTATTCAGGTTGGGGCCTTAGTGATGGGGATTGCGAACGGGCTCGGGGGCCTGTGGGTGCGACTCCAGCCAGGCAACGGCACGGGCAATGGCCTCTGGGATTGGTGGTGGAGTGGGGAGCACAGCACCCACGGGCTGGTAGCCATTCTCATCGGCCACATACTTGATCTCAACGTGCTCGCCCTCGGGCGAGATCCAGCTGAAGCTTCCGTGGATGTTGCCATGGACATCACCGCTGGAGGCCTGCTGGATGCTGTTGGACACCAGGAGATCAGCATCGAAGCCATCGGCGCGAACATCGCTGTGCTCGGACTTGACCTCGGCATGGACATCCTCGGAGCGTCCCACTGCGTGGGATACCGGAGCATGGGGCAGAGGCGCCACGCCAGCGGCGGCCACTCCCAAAACTGCGAAGATCATCACCTAAACGGAGGAGATTCACCCATTAGCATTTCGAGTCCTCTGAATTTCCTTTGAGCTACTCACAAACTTGAACATTTTTGGTTGTTGATTGGTTGTCTTGCCGTGAACGAACGTTGACTGATATCTGACTCTGGTCGGGTCGAGCCTTTTTATATGCTTCTTAATCCAGTTGCCTCACCTAACAAATTGCCACAACTTGCATTCAATTGTCTCTCTAAATTATGGGATGACATATCGGATGCGCCCGCAACCAAAAACGCCGACAACAACAGTTGCACCAAAGCAAATCGTCACATGGCGACAGCTGAGCAAATGCCAAACATCGGTGCTGTATACTATATGCGAGTATTCGAGTATAATCTGTTAATAGATGCTAAAATGAAACAGTCGCATAAATAAAAGTGCAAACGGGTCCGACAGCATCCCGACACCAAAACGAGTTCATCAAGCCCCCCAAAAACCACCGCCCTCTTTCTTTCTAATTTCAAAATGAATGTGGATATAGCCACACTATTGAGCAAATCTTCATCAGCACAGAGATTCTGCAATGCTCAGACATCGAACAGTTCCTCCGATCGGTTAAGTCGATTTATTGTGTGGTGTCTGATCGCCGTTTTATGACATGGATATGTACGACATGTACGCCAATGTTAGTTTTTTTTTTCTTCAAGAACTTAATATTGGCATTCGAGGTGATTATCTAGGGGATTTTTTTTTTCACCTCTTTCAGATCAAAAAGTTGACCAAACCACAAAAATCTTGCAGCGTGTTTTCTAAAGTTTGTATAGTAGTTCCAAATACGTTTTTAACACAAAGCTGGGCGCTATATATCTATGAATATCATATATGGATGAATATCATTCAATCATTCTTAAGACGAAGAGTGTAATATTTTCTAAAACACATATTTTATATCAGTGGGCGGCGTAAGTTTGTGTGCGTAGACAGCAGGCAAAACGGAACATTGTATTGGTCCCAACCACTGCAGTGCACTGTAATACAGTGGTACGTGAGCGGCAGCGCAGCAGCAGTTCCCTTTCCCATGCACATAAGATAGCGCCTTGCCAACCCCTGGTGTATATACTTAGTAGCCATAGAAACGATCGAAAACAGCTTTATCCCCAAATACATAAGTACATTCATCGACTCCAGAAAATATATGTAGTTTGACGCTCAGCAAATTAATTGACACTAAAACTTATAACAAGACTAAAAAAAATAATATATATTTTTAAAAAATTTTTATACCATAAGAGGTAAAATTAATCAACTAACTGTTGATTAAAAATAAATGTAGAATCCATAGAATTGTACATGGGCATATCCGCCGAATGGTCTACTTTTTGTATTATTATTAAAACTAAAACTCGATGAGCCCCAACATTTTGCACTAAGCATATGGCTAACAAAATGAAATTGAAACGCAAAACAAAAGCTGGGAAAGTTTTTTGTTGTCCATCTTTTTTTGCATTAAAATGTCGCGAACGTACGTTCGCTTCCCGCCATATCTGAATCGGCTTTTAGAAACTTTTGACACAGAAGAAAGTTTGTCAAATGAGCTTTAATGGAGCTCTAATCAATAGTCAACTGTAAGTTTCAGAGCCAAGTCTAACTTCCATTTTTTTCTAACGCCAAACAGAAGATAAAAAAGATAGAGAAGTTCCATGAATTGTTTTTTTTACTGCTTTAAGCATATGCATTTATTTATCTGGAAATCAAGTAGCACTGCTATGCAACTGGGGAGATATGTTTCCAGAGGACAGTCCGTTGAGCGATCCGTATCGAGGGGTGGCCTTAATGATGGGCTCCGAGTTCCGGAGCTTGGGGGTGAGCCTCCAGCCAGGCAAGAGCACGAACAATAGCCTCTGGGATTGGTGGTGGAGTGGGGAGCACAGCACCCACGGGCTGGTAGCCATTCTCATCGGCCACATACTTGATCTCAATGGGTTCGCCCTCGGGCGAGATCCAGCTGAAGCTGCCGTGGGCATTGCCATGGACATCACCGCTGGCGGCCTGCTGGATGCTGTTATCAATCTGCAGATCGGAATCGAATCCATCGGCACGAACGTCCGAGCTGAGGACCTTGACCTGGGCGTGGACATCGTCCGAACGGGAAACTGGAGCGATGGCGGCTGCCAATCCCAAAACTGCGAAGATCATCACCTAAACGGAGGAGATTCACCCATTAGAACTTCGAGTCTCCTGGCTGTCCTCTGAGTTACTTACAAACTTGAACATTTTTGATCCTTGATTTCTGTCTTGCCGTGAACGAACGTTGACTGATAACTAACTCTGTTGGAGCAAAGTCTTTATATATAATTCGTAATCAACTTGCTTCTGACAATGAATTGCTCGAGCAAAGCTTTTTCGATTGCGGCGGATACATCCATAAAGCTAGCAAATACTGTGCCAATAAATTCTCCCCCCAACAAAAGCTAAACAAATGCCAAAAAACGAGTATTACGCATCGGAATAGATGCTGAAATGAGACTTGCTTTAATGACACCAGTGCACGGAAGGTGGAGTAGAGTAACCTGTGTTGCGTTGTAGAAATTAAGGTACATGATGTAATATGCTGGGATATTATAAGTCTTGCGACACAGCAAATACGGAATGCATGTCCACAATAACAAGGTACAAAGTAATACACGTCAGCCTAAACAGTATTTAACACGATATAAATGTGACTCCAGGAAGTTCATTGGGTCATACCCTTTACATATATATAATTCCCTTAACATAAATTCCTAGCACTGGAAATGAATTTAATCCTGAAAATAAAATCATCCATCTAACTTCAGAATATTTTTATTCCTACTTTAATATGCCTTTATCGCCCCCACACATGATGTGGTGAAGAGCACAAGTAATTTGAAGTTTAATTCAATTATTTACACAGTATCCAAAATCTCTGAAACACACTTAATAGCTCAGGAGCCTTTTAATTTTAACAATAATGCAGCTTTCTGCCAGAGTTGTTTTAAATTCAAACTCGAATTAAATGTGAGCTTCAATGACCCCGAAAAATATGCTACGAAACTTATTTCAACAAAATTATTTTGCGGAAATATTTAAAAAACTGCCAACATGAATGACGCAATAAATATATAAAAGCATTAGTGCCTGGGAAAATTAAATAAATAAGGCATAATCAAAAAACAGCCAACATGAATGGACTAGTGCCTGGGCGAATGTGCATAAAGTCTGTGTGTCCATCATGGATAAAGGCTGTCTCTAGGATTGGATATGGCTAGTTAGGATTATTCAGATAGGCATGCTCCTGCATATTGTCCATCACGTGGAGAATGTTCAGTCTATAGCCTGAACAAAAATTAAAATGTTTCGATCCCCTCGAGCGCTTTTAAATAGTCTACAATTCGATTAACGGAAATCACCTCACTTTTTTTCTTTTATTTTTTTTTCTTACGTAGCCGATGACCAGACCAATAGCCCACCAATCCTAGAGGCCATCGTGAAGTCTATGGACTGATCTGTAACCACCCCAGCAATGAATAGGCGCATCTTCAATTAGGACTTCACTTCGGCTCTAAGCGGAAAGCCTGGGTTTGGATAATTGGGATTGTTTGGATATCATCCAACTGAAAGTATGAATATACCATATATTCTATGAAGATATTTTTCATACCCATTTGGGATACAAATTGTATTATATAAAATATATATTAGATCTGACGAAAAAGATTGAGCAATTATAAACTGGAATATTGACTTTCTTATGAATTAAATACTGTCTGGCCGAGCTCGCTTTGAATTCCCGTTATGGTCTGTAGAATTATGCGGTAGACTACGTGTATAATCAGTGAAACAAAATATCTAATGTGACACTGGACGTCGCTTTAAATGGTTCAAAGAGCCTGGTCAGAGTACATTTTTGGAATAATCATGGGGGTAATTTGCATAGAATAGTCAAAAAAACGGTGGAGCAGAGAGTTTTTTATCGTTCATCCTAATCGTCCAGAGGCTACACTACATATACTACAAATATGATGATCTGGAGAAAATTATGCGAAACCGAAATGTTAATTGAAAACGGGTTGCATCAGCTTCAAGCTCGAGGGTTGACTTTAGCGTATAAAAGCGATATTCGCATTTATTTTGGCATCAGTCTCACAAGTTCTCTAGTCAGACAATCCAATCCCAGCCCAATTCAAAATGTTCAAGATCGTAAGTATCTTCTAGCCTGGATAGTGAGCAATAATATCTGATAATCATGATCTACCCTTGCAGCTGCTTGTCTGCGCCCTTGCCGCCCTTGTGGCCGCCAACGAAAATGCCGAAGTCAAGGAGCTGATCAATGACGTCAATCCCGATGGCTTCAAGACGGTGCTGGCCCTCAGCGACGGCACTGCCTCCCAGGCCACCGGTGATGTGCACGGCAACATTGATGGCGTCTTCGAGTGGGTCTCCCCCGAGGGTGTCCATGTTCGCGTCGCCTACAAGGCCGATGAGAATGGTTACCAGCCCACTAGCGATCTGCTGCCCGTTGCCCCACCAATCCCAGAGGCCATCCTGAAGTCTCTGGAGTTTATCCGTAACAACCCCAGCAAGGAATAAGCGAATCATCGACTAAGAATTTACTTTGACTCAAAACAAAAAGTCTGGGCTTAGATTATGCCGACTCACTGCATCCAACTTAAAATATGAACAGCAAACTGAAAATAAATTCGATTTTCTAAAGAAAAATAATCTCTATTCAATTCAATGAAACTTTTCAGGAGTCATCAAAGAAACAATTTATGAAAATCAGATATGGAACATACATAAGTTACTTAGGTTTAATGATGTTTCCATTTGCACATTGCCTTTGATAATGTCTATAAAGATATACCATTATTCTATATGGCATAGAAGTTGGTTATCAATTGGAAGTAGTTTTTAGGACCAAGCCACGTACAAAATGGAATTTCCGCTAGAGTAATGACTAGAAACGCAAATACTATTGTTAGGCGTTTTAACGATCTATCGTCACCGTTCTGTAAGCTTGGCGATTGGTACAGAAAGAAATGGGAAACAGCTTTGATACTTTTAATATCTATTTTAAAGTTAAATTCTGTAGGAATTTGTCTATAGAGGAACCAGATCTCTGTATTTATTTATGGTACATTTTAATAAAAGTAGAACATGATCAGAAATTTGGCGTATTTCAAAC